TTGCACTTGGAGACAGGTGGTGGCACAACTGAGCTAAATCCTCATTTTTCATTCGATCCATTATATGGCTAGTCTTGCTAAGGCTATGGCTCTCAGGCTTTTAATAACTTATCTAAACTGCCTCTTTGCCATACTTTGTCCTCCACAAGAAGTGTGGAAATCTGAACTGCTCCTCATATTTGGGTTCTACATCCCCAATATAGTAGCAAGTAAAGCTCACTAATTCTTTTCTCATTGTCTTCTAACAATTTTTCTCTTCAACTCAGTCCCTGAGCTACAAGACCCTAAAGTAGTTTGAGAGCACATGATCCCCAGGAGATAGGGGCTATAGTCCATTCTACCTAGAAGAAGCTATAGAAGATAGAGATCTCCACTCCCTTAGCACCCCATAAAGAATTATGGCAATTTGTGTCTTTCAGGGGGAAATGGGTCAAGAAGGTAGGGTGTGGCTAAAACTGGCTGGCAATGTAGGAGTGACAAGATCCTGGAACACATGCATAGAACAGTTCTCAGAACCCTGCACATGGACTTCTCAAGAGAACTCAAGCAGGTTTTCACAGGGTGGCCTAGACCTGACATCAGCTTGAGGAGTGAGTGATATAAAAAAGACAGTTCACATTGAGTTTTTGACACTGTATTTTCTCTGCCTGGTAGTCTGCCCTCATGATGTAGGGTGTACTTCTTTTCCTGCTTTTACTTGGTCCAAACTCGCTCTGCAGAGCCTGTTTCTTTTCCTGCCTTAAATAAAACTTGTCGGGAGCAATGCTACATAATTTTAGGGAAAAATCATTTGGTTAGTTTAGTTCTCCTGCCTACAGCCCAGCTATGGAATTCCAAGACATAATTCCATTTTGGCCTCCAGTCACAACCGAGACCTCAATGATCCAGTGATGCTGTGATTCTCCAGGACAAGATTACTCCAGCTGAAGGCATCCTGGGAGGAACAAACATCTACTCAGTTCCTCATTGTTCTTGGACTGTTACCATCTTGTTTACCCGGATGTACTGAACTCTCTGCAAGTCATTTGTTACATCTGTTTCTCCCGATGTACTGAATAAAAGGTGCGGTAAGCTGGGGGCTTTCATCTTTGCCGCCCAGAGCAGCACTGATCAGACCCAAAGCTCAGCTTTCTCAGTCTCATTTTTCTACCTTTCCTGTAATTCACCTTGTGCTGCTGTGGCTCACAGGAGACCAGGACTTACTGCAGAGGTTCTGGTAACGTCCCCTTTCCCTGTTCCCTACAAAAACTTTGCTACTGCTTGTGCTCGTCTTGACGAATTCATTGCTCAGATCAGAAAGAACCTAGAAACCACCTCCAGAAGGAGCTTCCAGCACCCCAACGCCCAGTAATAAGATCCAGTTGCACTTCAATGAATGGGTGCACTCTGCTTGGCTTACATCCTGGCCCTGAGCACATCCTCTTCCATATGACACTGGTCTTGTGTGTTCCACCAGATCATAAACAATACCTGGTGGAAGATATTCTCTTATGTCATCATTTAAAACCAGTGGCACAGAATTCTGTTTGGTCTCCAAGCCAGTTCAACACTTTTAAGTACACAAAAGGATTCTTCACAGAGCTGGAAAAAAATGATCCAAAAATTCATATGGAACCAGAAAAGACCCAGAATAGCAAACATAATCCTGGGCAACAAGAGCAAAGAGGTATCACAATCCCAGAGCTGAAGTTATATCACAAAGGTATGGTGATAAAAACAGCATGGTACTGGGACAAGACAGATGTGTGGATCAATGGAACAGAACATGCAGAAACAACCCCTGGCACATTCAACTACCTGATATTTGACAAAGACATACACACAAAACATACACAGAAGGGCAGACTTTTAAATAAATGGTGCTGGGGGCTGGGCGTGGTGGCATATGTATTAATTAACAGTTGTATCCCAGCCCTCAGGGAAGAGGATCACAGAGTTCAAGGGCAGTCTGGACTACATAGAGAGAGACTGTGTCTTTAAAAAAAGAAATCAATGTTGCTGGGTAAGCTGGTTATCCATATACAGGGTATCCAATCTAGACCCATCTCTCTCCATGTGCTAAACTAACGTCAGACTTGATCAAAGAATTAAATGTTAAAACAGAAACACTTAACCTGCTGGATGATAAATAGTAAAACTCTTGCAGTCATAGGCATAGGGAAGGACCTTCTGAACAGACCCCAGCTTAGACAGAAAATAGTACTGAGAATCAACAAATGCGATCATATCAAGTTAAAAAGCTTCTGCAGAGCAAAAGAAACAACAGAATGAAAAGACAGTCTACAGAATGGGAAAAAAATTTGCCAGCTATTCCTCAGACAGAGGACTAATATCTAGAATATATAAAGAACTCAAAAAAATTAGACTCCCCAAAATAAAAAAACCAATCCAAAAATGCATAAATAAAATGAACAGACACTTTTCAGAAGTACAAATGACAGTAAGTGAAGAAATTCTCAGCATCATTACAGAAATGCAAATTAAAACAACACTGGGATTCCATCTTAACCCAGAAAGATTGTCCATCATTAAGAAATCAAATAAGAGGTGGTGGTGAGGCTGTGGGGAAAAGGAACCCTTCTACATTGTTGGTGGGAATGTGAACTTGTACAGCCGCTATGGAAATCAGTATGAACATTCCTCAAAAACAACTAAAACAAATTCCATTTGACCCAGCTATTCCCTCCTAGGTATCTTCCCTAAAGAGCTAAAGACATAATATTACAATGATCCATGTATACGCATGTTTATAGCAGGACAATTCATAATATCCAAATTTGGAAAGCAGCCTAGATGTCCATCAAAAGATAAAGAAAATGTGGTATTTACACAGAAAGCACTATGCCATAAAGATAAACGAGTTCATTTGTAGGAAAGTGGATGCATTTTGATGTAAGAGATAAAAAATACTTCTAATCGGTCCATGTTTCATTAACCACTCTAATAAGCCCTTATTGACAGAATTAGCTGGATCAAATAGTGGACAGGGACGCGCAGGCTGAAAGACTCACCCAGAGATAAGGTTCCAGGGTAAGATGAATGCGAATCAGGTTTTCCTGAATTAGGGTCCTGAGAAGTCAAAAGGCCATAAATAACTACAGAAGGGAATGCAGAAGGGAAGGGGCTGGTGGGAAGTGCCAGTGCGGGCTGGGTGGCTGGGACAGGCTGCTCCGCACAGACTGAACCCCATCCCAGGCCGTGGGAGATGTGGAGTCGGAGTAAAAGCACCCCGCCTCTCCACTCTGGGGCGCCACTCCGGCCAGTGTGGAGGAAGGTCTCGCTTTCGCTGCCTTTGTTGTCCGATTTTTGCGGGGAGACTGGATAAGTAAATTCACTTCTAACATTTAGACCGTAATGTTAAGTAAATGACACACACGCTTAAATATCGCATGGTTTGTCTTTTTTTGAGAAACCCAAATTATAAATCAAGAGCAAAATAAAAGATTAGCAGGAAGTAGAGACGGAGATCTTTCTCAAATGGGAAGGGGGGGTGTCAAGATATGGGGGGGGGGGATGAGAAAGGAATTAGGATGAAGAGTCAGGTCCGCCTCCCAGCTCTGCACAAGGAACGTAAGCCTTAGCAGTGAACCTGTACTACCAGAAAAAAATCCCTTTAAAGTCAGAACGCATCACGTATTTCCATGGTTCCAGCTCCTCCCAGTTTTTAGCCCAGCACCAAGTACTAATCCAAAACAGCGAGGCTGGCCCGCCCCGGTAGCCGGGCCTGGACCCAGGAGCAGTTTTCAGGAAGTCTTCCTGGGCTGAGCCTCAGAAACCGCGCCCTCCCCGCCTCGGCCGGCCGGTGTGGGCGGTTCCTGCGGAGCTCGCCGGGCGGGCGCTGCGGCTGAGGGACCCGGGTTTCGATTCCCGGCCAGAATCTCAGAGCCGTGCTTCCGGGTGTGCAGAACAGGCTCACTGTCCCTCCTCCCAAGCCCCGGAGAAAGGAAACTGCGCTAGGGATGGCTCTGGCCTGCCTGCGCGGCTGCGCTCGGCCACACCCCCAAGCCGAGGGCCTGCGGCACTCAGGGTCACGGGACCCGTCGTCGTCGGTGCTGTAACCTTCTGGCCCCGCGGTGAAGCAGGGCACCAGTCCTCCGGGAGGAACTGAATTAGAGTGCTCGGGTTCATAAAGGAGTGCAGCTCGTGCGCTGGGGACAAAGAAGACGATATTCGAACTGCTCATCCCTGCACCTGGGAAGCTGAAGCAGGAGGATCACTTGAGTCTAGGAGTTCGGACAACATAACCAGACTTTGCTTTAAAAACTAAAAAAAAAGCTGGGTGTGGTGGCGAATGCCTGTAATCCCAGCACTTGGGAGGCTGAAACAGGCGGATCACCCCAAGTTTGAGGCCAGCCTGGGGCACATAGTGAGTTCAAGGCCAGCCTGAACTATATGGAGACTTTGTCTCAAAAAACAAAACAAAAACCAACCAAACAAAAAGAAACCTTAAAAAGAAAGTGACAAGAGATTTAACCAGTGATGTTGGAGGAATTCCAAACTCCCTGCTGTGCAGCTGTAAGCGAGCCAGTCGGGCCAGACCACACCATCCTGCCTGGGACGAGTGAACCGCGAAAGGGGGGCCGCCAGGCAGGGCCGGTCTGGATGGCGCTCTGCACTGGCTGTGGCCTGGAGCGGATCAGTGGCTCAAAGCTAACAGGGTAGCTGCCAAACACACAGAGGCTCCGGAAGGAGCGGGATCAGATGCCACCAAGGCCGAGGGCTGTTTTAACGTAAGCAACGCCTGTAGCGTGGTAGAGAGATCTGAGGAGGGGGAGGAGAGTGACTCAGTTCTGGCACTGACTGTTCTGTGACTTGCTGATCCATTTGCATAAAACAGAGCGCTTGGAAGCTCCGATGGCTGTCAGATTTTTCTCTGTTGAGACAGGGTGTCACTATGTAGCCCAGACTGGGCTTGAACTCAAGCCTCCTGAGTGCGGAGATTACAGATGTGTACCACCACACGCGGCAGTTGTCAGAATTTTACAACTACGCACTTCTTATACAGGTAAATGTGCAAACGTGATTTTAATGGTCAAGGGTTGAAGAAAGTGAGATATATTTATGCGCTCAGCTCTGCTGAATAGGTAACATTATTATTCTCAGAAAACAATACATTTTAGTTTTAAAATGCAGTATCAAAATAAATACTTTAAAGGACATTTGCATGAAGCATTAAAAATAGCATTCTTTTTTTTTTTTGGTACTGGGATTGAACTTGGGACCTTGCGCTTGCGAGGCAGGTGGCAGAACCACTGAGCTAAATCCCCGTACTCAAAATAGAATTCTTTAAATAAGCTTGAACTTTCAGAGAACTGGACCAAGGAAGACCCAGACAGCTGCTCCAACAAGGACGACCACTGCTTCCCTCTCTTCACACTTCACTTCGTACCAGATTTTGTGCTGCTGTTAGAGGACATGTCAATTTTATTTCTATTACATAAATTGAGGAAGAAACACAAGAGTGAGACCCAAATATATTACAGGGCATCTAGGGAGGTGTGTTCTGTTGCTGAACACAGAATGATCTGAAATGAACTTTCAGAGCTGAAGCACAGTTGCTGAGAAGCACTATCTGCCTTTTCTGTTTAGAGCACATCTTGGTTTTTACCCAAGTATCAGTGAACGGATTAAACAAATTCTAGAAATGTTAATTAACATTCTGGATGTTCCAGAAAGTCATGCTCCACACACTCCTCCAGCTGCTTGAGGACGTGAGAGCTGCCCATGACCAGGGACTCTGGGAGCAGAGCTCTGGCGGTGGCGCAGGGCTGAGCTTGGGTTTTGAAAGCGCAACTCAGAGTCCTGAAGAAGGGCATCAGCTGCCTGATGCTGGACACAGAATGCTGGCGCAGAAGCGGAAATTCACTCTTCGCAGAGCTCTCATCAGAGCTGCCGCCTTCCTGCAAAAAACAAAACAAAACAAAACCAAGTAAGACCATAAAAATGATAGGGCTTCACTGAGGTCAGGGATGCCGTGAACCACAGGCACACACGCAAACCGGAGAGGAGTTCTTCATGGAGATTCGCCTCCAGCTTTGTTGGAAGGGGCAGAGACTGGATTTTTGGTCTTACACTTTCATCTGGCTTTAGCTGAGCCCAGCTCAGCTGGGGCCCTGCCAGTGGGTCCTCCGACCCCTGGGGCCCTGCAGAACAGAGCAACTTGGGGCGCAAGGGGTGACTGGCATCCAGCCCATGTGACCTCTTATCACTGGAAGGAGCTGTCTGTGTGACATGCAGGACAACAAGATGGAATTTATAACCATTGCAAGTTTGAAAACTAAGAGATATTTTGAAAATTTTCAGTCATTGAAGTCCGCTGGCTTCTGAAGCACTTTCTCACTTCTTAGGCCTTCTCCCCTTTGCCATGGATATAATTTTTGAAAGGAAACCACTTACCCCATATTTTGATCTCAGAAGTTGTAGAATCCTGACAGTGTGGGGTTTGCACTCCTGGTGATTATCTTCTAGGTTGGACAGGGAGGCAGGACCCTCTGTGTCCACTTCTGGAACAAAAGCCCACCTGTATCTGGAGGAAAAAGCCCCAGATCAGGGATGTTGGATCAGTGCCCATGTAAAATACTTTATTAAGATCTAATTCACAGGCCAGGCGTGGTGGCACATGCCTGTAATCCTAGCACTCAGCAGGCTGAGACAGGAAGATTGCCATGAGCTCAAGGGCAGCCTGGGATACACAGTGAGATCCTGGCTCAAAAAAAAGACGTTGGGCCGGGGATGTAGCTCAGTGGCACTGCGCCTACCTTGCAAGCGCAAGGTCCTGAGTTCAATCTCCGGTACCAAAAAAAAAGATGTTATTCACATACCACAGCCATTTCATATACACAAGTCAATGGCCCTTACTATACTCACTGAAATGCACCTTGTCAATGTAATCAATTTTAGAGTCACGCAGCTTCTCCCCAGCCACTGACCCCCTCCTATGCCCCATCCACCTTCTGTCTCTACAGATTTAGGCAGCATGCTGACCCTCTGTCTCCACAGGCTGTCCCGTCTTTGACAATACGTATGAATGGGATCATGGAGTGTCGTGTGGTCCCCAGGAAAAGCTCGGGCCTTAGTACCACATCCCCAAAATGCTCTTCTTCATGCCCAGGACTCCTGCTAAGCGCAGAGGACATGGCACACGACCGGGATCTGACTGTGCACAAGGCGCTGTCCAGGGTCGCCGGTGCTACCTGCAGAAGCCACCTTCCTGCCCACAGGCTACGCCCGCTCTCCACAGAACTTGAGTCTGCAGGCAGCCCAGGGCTGGCAGTGCAGAGCTTTGGGGCATGGGGCGGTGCTAGGTCCCCTCCAGCCAGGGCTCCTCCATGCTGCTGCTGAGTACATGGCCCTCAGAGGACTTTGGCAAAGCAGTGCCGCTGCAGTCTGAGCCCGGATCTGGAACCATCTTTAGTCTGCATCCTGCATCCCCGTCATTTTACTCCACGGTATAGTTACGGCCCGTGATAGCTATTCATCGTCACTGGATGGCGACTGAGTGTCTCCCCTTTGTGCTAGTATACGTAAGGCTGCTGCACACATTTGTATACATTTGAGTCCATGTACAAAGAAGCCTTCCTTTTCGGAGTAGCTTTCGGTTCACAGCTGAACTGAGGAGGAAGTACAGAGAGCTCCCTTGGGTCCCCTATTCCCTCACACACGGCCTCTATGATTCTGACCTCCCCCACCGTAGCAGAAACTGTTCTCGATGAACCCACGTTGACATTTCATCACCTCAGCGCCCACAGGTTACTAGGGTTCAATCTTGGTGTGGATTCTATGGGTTTTTGTTTGTTTATTTGTTTAAGACAGGGTCTTGCTATGTAGTTCAGACTGGCCTTGAACTCATGGTGCCCCTCCTGCCTCAGCCTCCCGAGTGGTGGGATAGCAGGTGTGTGCCACCACGCTTGGCAAGTTGCTGCTCTTTTTCCTGTCCCTATTGTTTTGTCTTTTCCAACTGTCCTGTAACTGGAATGCCATGGTGTGTGGCCCTTCCAGGCTGGGCTCCCTCACTTAGCGCTGCAGTGTGCATCTAAGAGACATGAAGGCAAAGTGCGCCGAGGCGTGGGGAGGTGGGCAGCGTGCTTCAGATCTGTTGACACGGGGCAAGCCTGTCTCGCAAGCATTCAGTGGCAGAAGCCCTGAGCACAGCACACACTCGCACACACTGTGCAGAGACAGGTGACAGGTGCATAAAGGCTGCGGGGAGCCAGGCTCACCAGACCACAGATTTCGAGGTCATCTGAAACCTGCGCTCCCAGCTGGCTCTAGGCCAGCACAAACCTACATGGCAGCTGCCGTGCACCGCACTGCGACAGGGCGTAAAGGATGACCGGCTGCTCCAGGAGGGGCACACGTCCCACTTACATTTGAAAGAGTGGCATCCTGTCAGGCGGGAAAGAAAGGGCCGTGTCCAGGAATTTGCAAGCTGACAAATACAAGACAAGTTCACTCGGGGCCGTCTCCCCAGCCGAGGACCCGTTTCCATCCACGACCGAAACTTTTCTGTTTATTTTGTTGCTGTTTCTGTAAATTTGCAGAGATGTGTTTCGCATCAATTTATTCATGTCTACTGTAGCCCATTTGTTTATAAGAAGGGTTTTCCTTTCCAAGCTGGGGGTGGTGGTGCACACCTATGATCCCAGTAACTCAGGAGGCTGAGGCAGGAGGATTGCAAATTCAAGGCCAGCCTGGGCAACCTAGCATGACTCTGTCTCGAGATAAAAAGGGCTGGGGACAGAGTTCAGTGGTACAATGGCTCTAGTTTGGCAGCTAGTATTTTTTTTTTGGTACCAGGGGTCAAACTTGGGACCTTGCGCTTGCAAGGGAGGCGGTGGAACCAGTGAGCTAAATCCCTGGCCCAATGCCTCTAGTTTTGAATCCCAGTATTTGCAAAAACTAAATAGAATAAATAATATAAATAATAATAATAAATAAATAGAAAATTTCACAGTGGGCAGTCCCATCAAGTGTGGGAAGAGGACAGCATCAGCATTAGACAGCCCTCCATCGGACAGGGATGACTGCTCATCTCTTTTCCCCTTTTTTTTCCAGTTCAAGGGACTGTACCACTGAGCTCCATCTCCAGCCTTTTTATTTTATTTTATTTTTTTGGTACCGGGGATCAAACTCGGGTCCTTGCGCTTGTGCAGCAGGCAGCAAAACCACTGAGCTAAATCCCCAGCCCCAGCCTTTTTATTTTTTAGACAGGGTCTTGTTAAGTTGCCCAGACTGGCCTTCAACTGTGATCTTCCTGCCTCAGCTTCCCAAGTGGCTGGGATTCTAGGCGTGTACCACCACACCCAGCTGGTGTCCCTCGGTCACACATGCAGAGCTGGTACTGGTGCTTACCTCAATGGCTCATCGTCCTCCTTCAGGTCGTCTTCAAGCTGTATGAATATCTGAATCTTAAAAAGAAAACATGCATTCTCATTACTATTTGAGACTAAACGCCCCCAAGTGGACACATCTATAAGAAACTAGTGGTAGAGCACAGGCCTGGTGTGCACTAAGGCCCTGGGTTTCATCTCCAGAACCGCAGAAAACAAGCCAGGTGTGCATGCCTGTCATCCCAGCACTTGGGGCTGTGGCAGGAGGACTGCCTCAAGTTTGAGGTCAGCCTGGGCTACACACACAGTGAGACCTTGTCTCAAAAAACAAACACCAAAAAAAAAGCAACTTTTAAGGGCCGGGGACTTAGCCCAGTGGTTCCAGCACCTGCCTCGAAAGCGCAAGGTCTCGAGTTTGATCCCTGGTACCAAAAAAACCAGAACACACAAGGGCAGCGGATTTAGCTCAGTGCTGCTGCTGCCTGCCCTGCAAGCGCAAGGACCCTAGTTTGATCCCCAGTACCAAAAAAAACAAAATCAACCCCCTGCCCCCAAAAAACCAAAACACAAATACACAAAAGCAAAACAAAAACCCAACAAAACCACAAAAAACCAACCAACCAACTAGCAAATTAGTATTAACAAATACTAACTAAAGGAAGCAATCAGTTGGAATAACTGACAGTTGAGAGATCAAATATGATAACATGATTTTCTCTATTTAACCACCTGAAAGGTTTTTTTTTTGGTACCAGGGAGCAAACTCGGGTCCTTGTGCTTGCGCAGCAGGCAGCGAAACCACTGAGCTAAATCCCCGACCCTCTCTATTTAACCAAAAGCTGAGTCTGTGCTCCCAACTTTTAGATAAAATGAGATCCATGTGGAGCAGCATCACGCATGATAATAAAAGAGCATTTTTAAAAGCTCTAACCTTGCTCTGCAGTCAAATACGAGCACTCACCAGTTCAGAGACCATTATGGGCCACAATGAGGTTAGATGCTGAGGAGAGATTCTTAGCAGCAAAACTCTGAAAAAAAGAAACATCTGAGCAGCAACTATGGGTGTCTGTCCAACTCTGAGATTGTCTGTCAGGCGTTCTAAGGAAAGAAGAGTTTAAAGATGTCACATAAACATGCAGTCTGAGGTTTCTCGTTAGCCACAGAAGAAAACAAAACACTAATTGCTTTGTGCTTTTTGTCATTTGTTTTTGCAGTACTGGGGACTGAACCCAGGGCCTCCACACTGAGCTACATCCCCAGCCCCTTTTTAACTTTTTATTGTGAGACAAGGTCCCGTTAAGTTGTTCTGCTGCTCAGGCTGTGCTGGACCTCAAGATCCTTCTGCCTCAGCCTCCTAGAGTGCTGGGATCACAGGTGTGTGGCCAGTGACCTTTCAGGAAGAAGAAATGTGCAACAGAGAAGCCAAGACAGCCTGGCAGAATGCCTGGCCTGCTGACCACGGACAACCTGTGGCAGACACAGCGTCTCGAAGGTGCGGAGTGCAAAGTGAAGTGAGGGAGTTCAAGAGATTTACTGGCAAAATTTTGATTTGACGACAACCACAAAAACTTTAATTCTAGGCTGGGGATGTAGCTCAGTGGAGCTGTACCTGCCTGCCAAATGCAAGGTCCTGAGTTTGATCCCCGGTACCAGAAAAACAAAACAAAACAAAACCCCTTTAATTCCCACAGGGTAGAAAGCAGCAAGGTGGATTTTCTGGGCTCTAACATTCTTTCCTCTTCACCACTCAGACGAGTGAGCCCTGGCCATCCTAATATTTGCTGGCGTACACCAGTCCTCAACTTCTTTTATTTATTTAGTTTTTTGAGACAGGATCTTGCTATGTAGTTCAGGCTGCCCTCAAACTCACCACGCACGCCTATAATCCCAGCACTTGGGAGGCTGAGGCAGGAGAATCACCATGAGTTCCAGGCCAGCCTGAGCTAAACAGAGTTCAAGGCCAGCCTAAACTACATAGCAAGACCCTATCTCAAAAAACAAAAATAAGAAGAAAAAACATACAAAAATGTCAACTTGAATAAGAAAAGGCATTTGGTGGTTTCTCTGCCTGCTGCGCAAGTGCAAGGACCCAAGTTCGATCCCTGGTACAAAAAAAAAAAGGCGTTTGGAATTTGAAAATTTCCAATTTGAAGCAAAAATTTGAAAAATACTCCAATACTCAATTATGGACACTTGAAACAAGTAAAAAATTGAAGTCTCAGCAAAGATAGGTGATACAAAGAAGGACCAAATGGAAATGTTAGAACTAAAAAAACTGCAGAGCTAAAAGAACTGAATAAACGAGCTCAACAGCAGAAGGTGGGTGGAGGGGAAGAGGGACGAGGAGGACGGGCTCTGCAACACAGAGGCTACCAAGGTCCTCCGAGGCCAGCGGGACAGTGAGGATCTAGCGTTACGGGTCCAGGACAGGAATGAGCACAGGCTAGAAAAATACGTGAAGAAATGATGCCAATCAACTTCTCAAAGGCTGTGAAAGACACACCCACAGACCCAAGACACTGAGTGAGCCAGGTGTGGTGACGCACACTTGTAATCCCAGCACTCGGGAGGCTGAGGCAGGAGGAATGCCACAAGTTTGAGGCCAGCCTGGGCTAGGCAGTGAGTTCAAGATCAGCCTGAATGGCATAGTGAGACCCGGTCGTAACTGACCTCCCCCCAAAACAGAAACTGAGTGAACTCTGAAGAGTTAAACCAAAAAAATTCAAGCCTGGGCCTGGGATTTAGCTCAGTGGTTCTGGCGCCTGCCTCGAAAGCGCAAGGTCCCAAGTTCGATCCCCGGTACAAAGAAAAAAAAAAAATTCAAGCCCAATGTAATGATACACAATGTAATCGAACTCCAAAAAATGAAAAACAAAGAAAAAAGTTCTTGATAACAGGGCAAAATGGCACACTACCTAAAAGAAAATAGTAATTAGAAACACAGATTTCCCATCAGAAACCATAGAGACTAAAAGAGGCATATTTTTTTAAGTGAGAAAGGCAGGAACTTCAACTCAGAATTCTATTTCCAATGAAAACATCCTAAGACATGAATGTTAAAAAAATAAAGTCCTAGGGCTGGGGATTTAGCTCAGTGGTTTTGCTGCCTGCTGCGCAAGAGCAAGGACCCGAGTTCGATCCCTGGTACCAAAAAAAAAAAAAGTCCTGAAAACTAAATAAAATAAATGAAGTTGAAGTAAAAATAGCCTAGAGGAAGTAAAACAAAGAGAATCTGCTGCCAGTAGATCTGCTGTAAAGAATGGCTAAGAGCTCAGGAGGCTGAGGCAGGAGGACCCCTCTGAGTTCAAGGCCAGCCTGAGCTACATACATAGTGAGACCTTGGGGGAGGGGGGGAGGAAAAAAAGAAGGAAAGAGAGAGAAGAGAGAAAGAGAAGGGAAGCAAAAGGAAGTTCTTCAGTCAGAACAGAAACAAAAATGAAAGTGGTGAGCAGATAGGCTGGCGTGGGGTGAGGGCGGGGGAGGCCAGGACCCATCAGGAAGCTGCCTGGTGGTGAAGGGAGGGCCCTGGCCCCAGATGTGGGCTGCAGACAGCAGTCTGCCTAAGGGACACTTCCACAGAACTCGCTGCACCAGCGGAGAAGGAGGGCGGGCGGTGCTGGGAGGTGCGCGAAAGTCCACCTTGAGTGCATGGCACAGGTGCGTGCCAGGACTGCCTGGTTTGAAGAAGGGGCCCTGGCTCTGGGAGATGGTACTCTACGGCCAGGGGGACGACTGACACCACAAATGAATTCTTGGTATTATTTTTGTAACTTCTTGGGAGGCTGCTCTATTTCAAACTAGAAAGCACTAAGAAAGTATTTGTCAACTGGGTGTGGTGACACGCACTTGTAATCCCAGCACTCAGGAGGCTGAGGCAGAAGGACTGTTTCGAGTTTGAGGCCAGCTTGGGCTACATAGTGAGACCTTGCCTCAATAACAAGGACAAAAATTGGGCCGGGGATTTAGCTCAGTGGTTCCGGCGCCTGCCTCGAAAGCGCAAGGTCCCGAGTTCGATCCCCAGTACCAAAAAAAACAACACACACAAACAAGGACAAAAATAAAGTAGTTGTACATAAAGGGCATATCTTATGTACATATTGGGCACATGCTCCAAATTACAGATAACTCCAGAAGATTACCTTTAGCCAAGATGATTTAAGAACCTACTTTTCTTTGCTCTCTAGTACTCCTGTCTTAGCCTAGTCATAACTGTACAAGCTTAAAGTCCTGTGAGCAACAGCTTGAGGAACCCTGAGCAAATGTCGCTGCACCACTGTCCCAGGGTGGGGACCACATGCTCACACAAGCTTTGTTCCTCATCCCTGAAAGCACAGCGACATCCTGTCTTGCCAGCCGGGAAGGGTAAGGTCAGGTGGATGACCACAGCCTAGCCTGGGGCCAAAGGGCTCTGGCGCAGCCCAAATTTTGCCAGTTAGTGGGGACAAAGCTTCAGACAGGCGCTCTGGGTATCAGCACCCCGATACAGAAATCTAGCCAGTAGGCACAGGGCAGGGAGGAGACATGCTCACCCCCTCCTCCTCCACCTCATCCTGCTGCCACAGTCACAGGCCTCAGGGAGGAGCAATATCTGTCCTCAGCTCACTGTAGAAAAACAGCATTGTCCTCATTAAAAAGGTAATTGCTTTTGAAGGAGTAATTTGCTTATTATATTTTCTTTTATGATCACAATGAGTACTACTCTATCATACAGAAGGAAAAATTTGAGTCATTTTTAGGAAAACAGATATACCTTGAGACCACAATGGTTAAGTGAAAGAAGTCAGATACAAAGGCTTAAATATCACATGGTTTCTCTTATAGGAGAGACCCAAAGTACAGTAGTACCTTGGTTCACAGATGTTTTCATTTGAAAATAATCTGGCTTAGAAACAGAAGCATTTGGCAAAATTTGGTTTTTTTTGCAAACTGCATTGGGTGACAAACATAACCTTGGCCATCTTTCTCACACAAACACAAATGTGTCTATCTTTCCCAAAACAGTAGGACAAATTAAGTTTGTGAGCCAAGGTAGCACAATGGGAATAAATCAAAGAGCAAAGCGAAAGATAGGTAATAGGAAACAGGAAGATAGACCTTTTGCAAAAGGCAAGGGGATCAGGATGATGGGGGGGGTGAAGGAGGGAAAGGAGAAAAAAAGAGCTAGGATGTGTTATCTACATGTACCAACTACCTGCAATGAATGTAATCATGATGTATTGCAAACATGTACTAATAAAAATACCCCCCCCACGTTTTATAGCAGGGTGTGTGGTACATGGCTATAATTCCAGAACTCTGGGAGGCTGAGACAGGAGGATCACAAGTTTAAGCCCAGCCTGGACAACTTAGAAACTTAGCCAGATAAAATCTCAAGATAAAAACTGGGCTGGGGGTATAGCTCAATGCAAAGGCCCTGGGTCCTGGGTTCAATCCCCAGTACTGCAAAAACGAAACCAAACAAAAACCATAAAAAATCAATTTTTTGCATATTTAAGGTGATTGGATTATGGGGGCTTATTGTTGACTTGATGTTAGAAGATGGGACCTGGTTCAGAGAGGTGGAACACGAGGCACGGCCTAGAAGTTTATCTCCCTCCCCAGCTCCTTCACTCTGCCATGATATGAGCAGCCTTCCTCCACCTAGGCCCTTCCACCTCACTACCCTGCCTTGGAACCAGCTGACTAGGAACAGATATTTCTACAAATGGTGAGCCAACATAAACCTCTCCTCTTTTTAGATGTAGGTGTCAGGTATTTTGTCCTGGTGAGAGAAACGTAAATAAAACAGATTTTGGTACCAGGAGTGGGGTCATTGCTGTGATGTAACTGGACTATGTGGCTCAGAAGCCTTTGGAACTGGCTTACCAGAGGAATTTGGAAAGGTCTGGAGATGCTGGCTGAAGAAGCAGCCCTAGAATGAATGCTATAAGCTGAGCTTGATAGGAGATTATGGTCAGAGCTCAGAACACAAGAACACTGATAGAGCCAGGTGTGGTGGCACATGCCTGTAATTTTATAGTACAAATTTTATAGCAGGGTATAGCGGTGCATGCCTGTAATTCTAGCACTCAGGAGGCTGAGGCAGGATCACAAGAGCTTGAGGCCAGCCTGGCCTACACAGTAAATTCAAGTCCAGCCTGAACTACGTAGCAAGACCCTGTCTCAAAAGGAAAAAAATGCTCATAGAAATGAAGATAATAAAGGCCATGCTTAGGAGGTTTCAGTTGGGAACAAGGACTGCACTCACATTTGGATGCCAAGCCATGTGTGTTATGCCCAGGCAGAAAATTTGTCTACATTTTGCTCTTGTCCTGAGACTTTGTGGGAGACCTAAATGAAGGGTAGTAGACTAATTAATTTGGCAGCAGAGATTTCAATGTAGTCCAACATTCAGGTTTGTATGGGTACTGTTGGGAGACTTTTAGCCAGCCTAATACTGAAAATCAAGAGCAAACAGCACTGCTGAATGACTTAAAAGTTTTCAGTTTCACTAGAAAGGAAGCTCCAATAAAGTTGGAGCCTGCAAAGACAAAGCAGAGGAGGGCTTGGTTGCTAAAGGGATTAATATTAGAAAGAAGCCAAGAACTTTACAACAGGACAACAGGAAAAATGACTTAAAAGCATGTAAGGAACCAGCAAGGCCCCACCCTTCACAGGCTCAAAATTGCTACCGTAAAAGACTTTGCTTTGAGAAGAGAACCCCAGGGCACTGTACTCCAGAAAGGTGACCTCTTAGGGAATTTGTTCCCCAGGGTTTGGTTTATAGCACTCAGCCATCCAGGCACTCAGAGACTTCTACAGCCATGATACAAGGCGGCCTGGCTAGTAGCTTGAGCTGGTGGCAGACCTTGGCATCACTCAGGTGGTGCTGATTTTACAGCCATGCAGAATACAAGAGTTGTGGGATCAGGAAGGCTTATACCCAGGATTCAGAAGAAGGCTTGGGAGGCCAGGAATTGTACTCCTGAGAGGGCAGTGTAAGAAGCTATGAGAGCAAAGCTGAAAGTTCAGTGGAGACTCCAGAAGGTGGAGAAGCCAGGAGCGTGGATCATCTGAGGAAAGGTGCAAGCACTGAGCAAAGACAGCCCAAGAGAGAAGCTATGAGGGCTACAACCTCTGCCAGTGCCACCGGGGTTCACAGCTCTTCACCATGACCTGCCTCAGGCACTGGACATGCAGCCCCAGTATTTAATGTTTGCCCTGTTGGGCTGCAATCTTGGTTTGGTCCCACGGGTTTCTAGTCCCCCTTTTGGAATGGGAATGTTTACCCTGTGCCATTGTATGGTGGAAATATTTAACTGCTTTTTGATTTTTATAGGGGCTCACAGCTAAGAGTTTGCCTTAAGACTCAAAGGTGACATTGGACCTGGACTTTTCAGCAATGCCGACACCATTAGGACACTGGCAACTCTTAGAGATGGACTCAATGTATTCTGCATAAAGAGATGTGTGTGAGTCTTCTGGGAGCTAAGGGGCAAAATGTTATGGTTTGCATCTAGATGTCCCCCCAAAAACCTTACGAGCTCAAAGGTAGGACTCTTGAAAGATGGTCGGATTGTGGGGCTTACAGCTGACTTGCTGTTAGAAGGCCAGCCTGGCTGGAAGAGGCGGGTCACCGTGGGAGTAAAGGCCCCTCCCTTCATCCTCCACTTCCTGTCTGCCATACTGGGGGCAGCTTTCCTCTGCCAGGCCCCTCTGCCGTGCTGCCCTGCCTTGGAGACAGCTGGCTACAGGATGAACCTCTATAGCCTGTGAGCCAGAATAAACCTCTCCTCCTTATAGCTGTGGGGATCAGGTATCTTGTCCCACAGAGGAGAAAAGTGACCAAAACATCTGCAAATCTCCCAGTACTCCGGGAGGATGAGGCAGAAGATGGCAAGTTTAAGGCCAGCTTGAGCAACTCAGTGATATCCTGTCTCAAAATGTAAAATATAATAAAAAGGGCTGGGGATAGAGCTCAGTATGAAGGTCCTGGGCTCAATCCCCAGTACCAAAAACAGCCGAGAAACCAAACCCAAGAAGTATCCTGAATATAGGAGGAATCTAGCAGTAGACAGTGTTGAGAGCATTATTCCTGCGCTGTACTGTCGGACTTTTAGAATCTACCTAGTAAAAACAAATCATATTATAATTGGTTTTGAAAATGAAGTTTCAGATTTGCTGACACATATCTGTTTTATTTTTACAGTGTTAGGGATTAAACCCAGCGCCTCGGGCACGCTAGCCAACACGCTACCATGGAGCTACACCCCCAGCCCTACCGACGCACTTCTGAAATCCAGTGACTCCCCCCGGAGAATACGCATTTTAACACCCGACCGTTGTACCCAAACATGCTACGGGCCCCTCTAGGCGCTGCCCCTCTGGCACTGTGGGTTTATTTGTGCTGGAGCAGGGAAGGGAGGGTTGGTCACTGCTGTGGTTTGGATGTTTGTCCCGTCCAAGACATGCACTGACATTTAACTGTTGATGCGACAGCACTGGGAGGTGGGCCTCATGGGAGGGACTGGTGCCATTATAAAAGGGCAGATCGGGCCCTTCTTTCTCTCTTGTCCTTCCTCTTTCCGGTGTGGGATGGTGCAGACACAAGCCCATTGTTTGGGTTTGTATTTAGATGTCCCCCCAAAACCTCATGCAGATGAGGTGGGACTTTCTTTTTCAGAGGTGGCTGAATCTGGACTGTGTGATGCTGGGGTTAAGGGTTCGTGATTACTAAACCACTACACAGGAGTGATTGGTTTGGCACTGCCTTAATCCTGGTAGTCTGAATAAGATAAAAGGAGCAGAAAGATGCTATTAAACCTCTTGATGCCTTTGCTTCATTGTGAGTACATTGTTCCTTTGTGATGCCCGTTTGCCATTCCTGTCTTGGAACCAGCTGATTATGGAGTGAAACCTGTATGAACTGTAAGCCAAATAAACCTTTCCCCCTTCAACTCTGCATGGCAGGTATTTTGTCTCAGCAATGGGAGAAGAGTAATGAACACACCCATCCATCCTGCACTCCAGCTTCCACAGCTGTGAGACAGTCAAGCTCCGATCACCGGGCACTGTCTTGTTCCAGTTCCAGCAGCCCAGGGCATACCGAGACGGCCACCTTACCTTGGATCAGTGGGAGGTAGAGGTGGTACTGGTCGAGTTCTCCACTGAACACAGCAAAAGCCTGGCGCTTTAGCAGCATGGCTTTCTGCTCAAAACTGGAGAACAGTTTTAAAGAACTGCTCTGCATGTCTGGAATAAATACATGGCAGATAAATCACAGTCAGAAAGAGGACCAATAGTGGCAGGAAATTCAGACCAGGGTAATTCATATTTGGTGAAAAATTACTACCTCAATTAACTGAGCAAATGTGATTATTGTGCCCATGTATTGAAAAAAACCCTTCTTTTATTACTGATACATAATGGCGGGAGGAGCATGAGAAAGGGTCTGAAGTGCAGAAGTGTACTCCGAATAAGTTATGGAAAAGTTAATACTTTCAACACCAACATCAAGATGTGAACTGGGCACTCTTAGCAGCATTTCCCTACTGTGAGGCTGCCAAAGAGGTTGCAGGGCTTCTTGGCCAGTGCTGGAGTGAGGGAGACTCATTCACTGGGTCCTGACACATTCTGTGCCTTGCATCAAAGTTTATAGCTTAGCACCATAAGAAGTATGAGTGTCCTAAAATATGAAGTAAAAGCTGCTTTGGATGGCACTGACCTGCAAGTGTAACAAGTAACATAGAACTTACTCATTAAGTCCTTAAACATTGTTTTCTCATGAGTCAGAAGATGGTCAATAATGGACTTCCAACTGGATATTGAAAAAAGCAAAATTAATTAAATATGCAATGGATGGCAATCTGATTAAAAGCATCAAGAAAATAACATCGCTTTTAAGGTCTGTTAAAAACTGCTTTCTGAAGAGAGGTTAGTGACACAGAGAGTTTTATACAAGGAAGGCCAAGCAAAAGGTTTTCTTCATAATCCTTTTAGAAGCTCAGCATAAAGACAACATAGATTAGTGGGTACTCTGGCTCTTCCAAGGGTTGCCCTTAAACATGTTCATGTGAGATGATTTTCACAGTTTTGGTGACAGAGGGGGAGGGGGAGGTGATGTTGGAAGACAAAACAGCACCCCTTAGCTCTTACTTCCGGAGGGCTAGTTTGGGGTAACCACAGGAGCAACGGGTTACAGTCTGCCCTCTGTATGCATGGATCCTGCACCCACAGATTCAACCGACCACAGGTTGAAAATGTTAAACAAAGGACACTGTGTCTGTACTGAGTATATACACTTCTTCATGTCATTATTCCCTGAACGATGCAATCTACCAAGCTGTTTACATAGCACTGACATTGTATTAGGTATTGCAAGTCTCCTTGGGGCGATTTAATGGACGTGGGAAGTTGTGTACAAGTTCTATGTGAATACTACACCACTGTATAGCAAGGAGTGGAGCACTGGTGGATTTTGGCAGGTGTGGGACCGAGGGACAGTGTTCAAGGACAGAAGGTGACAGGCTCCACGTGGCCTTAGGTTAGAACAGCTTTTGGGCCATAAGAAAAGGCTGCTCCAGTCTCCGCCCTCTGTCCCAGCACCTCCTGTCAGAAGGAAAGGTTCGTGTTGCATGCTGAGCGCGGGGTGGGGGGACGCTGGGTGGGTTTCCTCATCTCAGTGCTCTCACATCTGTGTCTCCAAGGGTCTCTGCTGCCAGTGCAGTGCCAGCCTGCTGCAAAATATGCATGATTTGGGGGTGCATGAGCCAAGAAGTGGGGCCAAGGTGCCGTGAGGGTTATCAGCGGGCTCTGCCATCTCAATGCTGGTGAAATGCTTCATGGTTATAAAATAAAGCATCAAAAAAGCATCAATAAAGGCCGTGGTGGTGCATGCCTGTAATCCCAGCACTCTGGGAGACTGAGACAGGAAACTGAAAGTTCAAACTCAGCCGGGCAATTTAGCAACTCAGCAATACCGTGTCTCAAAATAAAAAAGGGAAGAGGATGTGGTTTAGTGCAAAGGCCCTAGGCTCAGGCTCTAGCACCAGAAAAACAAAAATGTAACCCTTCTCTGGTAAACACATGGTTAATGTGGGAACCTGGCACTGTGCTGGGCTGATGTGATGGGGCTCCTTCCTCTTCAGCAAAGAGAATTAATTTCAGAAGCAAAAGACTGAAGACTCAGAGTGCACTTTCATCAGGACAGCATTTCTTACTGAACACAGGAAGTATCCATCTGAAAGAAAGTGGGGTCCAGGAACAATTCCAGCACTTCCTTCTTCCAGGCCCGCTTCGTGTAGGCATAGCCACTCAGCGAGCTCAGCAGCTGCGCACTGGCCCGGAAGCTGGGCGCATTGTAGCCACTGATGGGGCCAGAAGAAAGAGTCAGGGTCAGAGGCCATCCAAGGACAGTCACCTACTTCGTCTCTCACAGCATGCTTCTCTGCATTCGTGTGGGGTGAGCTTACCTGTGATTGCGTAAGTAAGGAAAAACATAATACAGCAAGCGGGAGATCAATGGCACCGCTTTGTCTTTCTCATCACTTCGATAAACCATGTCCAGGAGAGAAGCCAGGACCTGGAGGAACGAGACCCAAAGGAAACGGAAACTGAAGGAAGTGACAGGAAGTGTCGTCTTCTAAGCAGAACCTCACAGGTTCTGCTGGTGCAGGCTGAGGCCTGCTATTCTTGGCGTCTGGGCTGTCCTCCCACAGATCACACGACAGGCCACTGGGAGGCGCTGGGAACTCTGGTGGGAGGAGGTTAGGTCACTGGCGCCGTGTCCTGGAGGGGGACACAGGGTTTTCCTCTCTCTGAGTCCTGGCCACCGTGTGGGCAGCCTTCTTCCGCCGTACACTCTCTCCCTGCCATGAGATCTGCTTCACTACAGGCTCAAGACAAAACAAAACAACACAAAACATGGAGCCAACCACCCATGGACCAAAACCTCTGAAACCATGAGCCAAAATACACTTTTCCTCCATTTAAGTTGATTTGTGTCGGGGGTTCTGTTACAGAAACAGGAAGCCAACTGTAATGCTAGGCCCACACCCGAGTTCACGGCACCTGAGACTGGCAGGTATTTCACAAGGGCCCACTGGGCAGGTGTGCACTTACCTCCGCCAGGAGAGAGAGTGCTTGCACACTGTAAACCGAGGGCGCAGACGAGGACACCATGGCTGAAGCCGCAGCAGCATCTGATGACAAAAAGGGGTGTTTGTGTTCAACCATGGCGATGCCCCGTTACTGTCCCCAAAGCACCGTGTGAACTGAGTTCTGTGCTTTTGTGCACCAGACTTCCTCTCTGGGAGCGTCCGATTTCAGCAGCTGAGAAAGACGCTATCTGGATCAAGCAAACAAGCACTGGCTTCTGTCTCCAGCCCTGTTTCTCTTCCCACCGTCACCCTTGGAACTTCAGCGTCCCCGGATCATCCCTGCAGCACCCTGGCGCCTTTGCCCCGGCCTTCTCTTCCAACAATCACTCGGCTCCAGCTCAGCTGCTCAGCATCCCTGTCACAGCCCCAGCCTCACCAATTCCCCGAACCTCCGTCTCCAGCTCTGAGCACCCTGGGGCCTTTCCCTGCAGACTCCCTCGTGTCTCCGTGTCACAACACTTCACCTTTCATCCTCTGTGGGGACACCCATGCTCTCTCATCTACCTGACAAACATCCCTGCCTCTTCCTATGGTCCATACCTGATTGTCTGCCCCACGCCTCTTATGCGCAGAGGTGGGACTGTGGAAGGTGATTGGATTATGGGGTGCTGCAGCTGACTTGGTGTTGGGAGGAAGGGCCAAGTCAGAAGGGACGGCCCCTGGGGGCGTGGCCTGGAAGGACTTATCTTCCTCCCTGGATCCTCTCTTCCCTCTCTGCTTCCTGGCTGCCCAGATGTGAGCAGCTCTTTCTGGGCAGACACTTCCACCACGCCGTCCTGCCTTGAGCCAGCCGAACGTGGACTGAGACTTCTGAGCTGTGAGCCCTCAGTCTCTCCTCTTAACTTGTGGGTGTCAGCAACAAGGATAGTGACTAAGATACCTCACTTTTTTCTATTTTTCTCCAAGAACTCACTTAGTAAAATGCACTGCTGGCTAAAACCAATACTCTCATCCTGTAGTTTGAATATGGTTTGTCCTTTCCCAAACGCATGTTGAAATTAAGTGCCACTCTGGTGGTGTTGGGAGGTGGCACCTTCAAGAGGTGATTTGGTTATTAAGAGGCATGAATTCTTTTTTTTTTTTCTTTTTTGAGACCAAGTGTCACTGTGTAGCCCAAGCTGGCCTCAAACTTGTGGCAATAATGCTGGGATTATAGGTGTGTGCTACCACGACTGGCCTAAGGGGCATGCATACTGTTGCAGGACTTGGCTGGATTAGTCACCAGAGGAGTGGGGTGTTAAGAAGTGTGGCTGCCACTCCTGTTGGGCCTTTCTGTATGCACCTGTTTGACCTTCCACTTTTCTGCTATGTTATGATGCATGAGGCCTCACCAGAAGCCAGGCCCACAGGAGACCAGCTTGAAACTGCACTGAGCAGGCTTCAGATATTAATGATTTGGCTCATGAATTTGGCTATCGATTAAAATGAGTCATTTCAAGGCTTATGTGTGACTTGTTAATTGTCCCATGAGCTGGTGCACAGAGACAGACTTCCCTATGCCAAGTGTCACAACTGAGGTCTTAACGATCAATGAGGTTGTGACATCTCTAATAGCAAGGAAACACTGAAGCTGAGGATTACGACTGTGCAGCCGTTCTCCAAGATCAAACATTAGCTAAAGATAGCACAGGTGCCTGCTAGCTGTGAGCTGTCCTTCACAAGAATACAGTCACTCCCCTTTTAAAGCGTGGCTCATTAGTGCCTTCGCTCTGCTCTTCCCTACTTCAGCCTTCACGTCCCCTTGCTATGCTGTATGATCATAAATTCTGACTAATCCAGAGCTCATGGTCTTACCAAGGACAGAGCTAAGATCAGGTGGTCTTTAGCCAGAAGAGAGCCAGAGATCAATTCTCAGCCTCCCAAGTAATAAACTATCATTTGTTATTCTTTATTCCTTGTTCTTTGTATATTATTCTTTCATCCTCTGCTGTATCTTCATCAGGTGAATGGGTATCATCCGATAACTGTCTAGTGGTTGGGCAATCAACCCAATACAAGCCAAAATAAACTTCTCTTGTCTAGAAATTAACCAGCCAGCAGGCACGCCGACGGGGAGGACATGGCATCATGAAGCCTCAGCCAGTGTGGACACTGCAGTATTCACCCTATTTCTGTCTGCCCGGAGAACATTCGCCCACAGCGCTTGTGGCTGCAATATTTACTCCTAGCTAGTTTGTGGGTTACAGTCCTAATCTCACCCCTAAAGTTTAAAACAAAATATTTTTCTTCAAGTATGATCTCATTGCTCTAGAGAAGCAATAATCTTTAGAAACAAAAGATCATTCTATGTATAACATTCTGCTTTTAGTAGTGTATATCCATTTATGAGATATAATAATTCTGGATCACTTAAAATTAGATGAATGCTGAACTTTTGTTTTTCTAAATAGGAAATGAAGGCAGTATGCTTTTTCCTGTTCATACTAAAAAAACTTTCCAGTATCTCCTTCCGCCCCCAGCTATGTAAGATATAACTGAGAAATGAAAATGTCCATGTGGCAGGTTACAGGTTGCTGTTTTGATATATGGATCCACTGGTGAAATGACCAGAGTCAGGTTACTTAGCATCTCCATCAGCTCTGACCTTCACAGTCTATTCGTTTCCTGGTGACAACACTTAAGGTTTCACTTAAGGAAAAAGTAGAGAGACAGTGAGGGGGTGAGGGGACAAAGGGTGGGTGCAGGCTGGGGCCTTAATTCAGGGCCTGTTAGCCATTAAAAGTATGCTATGTGCTCTTCCCCAGCCTGCACCGTCCACACACAGATCCAGGCTCATCTGTAAAGCCAGGATGCGCACATCGTAGTACCCAAAACTACACTAGGTGAGAGAATACAACTGCTGGTGATCATCGAAGAGGGACAAGGGACACACAAGCTCCGAGACCCTCAGACTGGTTAAACCCATTCGTCCCCACCCCGCCGGGTGTCCCTGTATGGCTGCAGCCTCCACCCTTATCGCCAGGCAGGGTGTTTATGCAGGATGGGGACAGACGGAAGGAATGCGGCAGCTCCTGGGACTCACTGGCCAGGCCTCCTGGAGGCCAGAGCTTTGCTCAGGAAGAGAAAACACCTTTTGAAACTTGTGTCCAGGATCAGTGTAAATTCCTGGACTTTGGCCTGTCCCTGCGATTGCGCACATGAATGAAGAGTCTTGCCACTGGTTTTGCTTGTTCGTTTACGGTGCAGGAAGCGAACCCAGGGCCTTGGCATCTCCAGCCCTTTTTATTTTTTGAGAGTCTTGTTAAATTGCCAGGAGGGACTGTTTGCCATCCTCCTGCCTCTGCTTCCCACATTGCTGTGGTTACAGGCACGCACCCCAGCACCCAGCCGAGTCAGGGACGGGCCTGTCTCCTGCTCAGGCAGATGCCCCTTGGCCCTCTCTCTCCCTCTCCCTCCAGCTGCAGCTCTGCCCGCCTGCTTGTCCTTCTCCGCCTGGCTTTTCATTTCTCTGATCACTGGGTCAAAGGAGGGCAAGCCGGCCCCCTGGGGCCCCAGCAGACTGCGAGCGGGGGCTCCTGGCCCCTGCACCTACCGTGCAGGTCCTCCTCCACGTCGGACTGCTCCAGAGCGACCTGTGGCTGGGCCTTCACCTCCAGGTTCCTACTGAGCCAGCTGGTTTGTTCTAAGGAAGAGCCAGCGACGTTCCCTACGGCCTCCAGGACCTTCTGTGTGATTTCCTGAGGCCCACAGAGGAGGGAAGGAAGTCACTGAAGGACAAGAAGTCGGAGGCCTACAGGGAACAGCATCCGGGAGCAGAATGCAAGCCACTGCTGTGAGCCCTGGAGGCAACAGTGATTCCCAGGAGCAACGTCAAATGATAAAAAGCAACAGAGGCAAGTAATTTTAATAATATGTTCTATTTAACCCAACTGCTCCAAAATATAATCAATACAAAAACGATCAACGAAATTTTACACTTTCTTTTTGTTTTTTTGAGACAGGGTCTCACTATGTAGTTCAGACGAGTCTTGAACTATGCAGCCCAGGCTGACTTTGAACTCATGGTAATCCTCCTGCCTCAGCCTCCCCAATGCTCGGATTACAGGGACCACCGTGCCCAGCTCAAGAGGCCACTGTTTTTTTTTTTTTTGGTACTGGGGATTGAACTCAGGGGCCACTGTTTTTGACCAAACTTCCTGCACTGGTTCCAACAGGCCAGACCACAATTCACTCAGGCTAAAGTTCACTTCACCAAGCTGAGACTCAGCTGTTTACCTGAGACTCTGAGAAGTCAGGATTAGTGAGACAACAGCCACATTTCTGAAACAGGCTGGCTTCAGGGAGCCTGAGAATGAAGTCCCCCCTGCCTTAATCTTTGCAGAAAAAGGAACCTGAAGGAACCTGAAATTAACCAATGGGTTTTCTGCTCACTATCTGCTTCCCTGTAGCTTCTTTTACAGGGACAAGAACTCTGAGAGGACTGTGACACACTTCTGTCCGTGCTCCTGCTGCCCTCCTGTCTGCAAACCAAGCCCTGCACTCGGCCCATCGGAATGTGGGTTCTGTTTTACAGAATGCACTGTGGCCCAATTCTAGAATCTCAAGTAAAGCCAGTCAACACCTTTAAATGAGATGGCTGTACTTTTGTCTTTTCACACTAGAAATGCGTCTTTCCATTGTATAAAAAGAAAACTAAACAAACTGAAAGGAGGGGGTGAAGGGAGCAGTTCCTCGAGACTGGAGCACAGCCAGTCAAGATTGTGGTCAGTGGCCGACAGGGACAGCAGCCCAGGCAGCGCCACAGCCAGGAGCCCCACCTCGCCGGGCCACTGCGGCTGTCACCGCAGACACCAGAGAGCTTGGTAGCCCTGAGCGTGGGACCAGGCTTGCAGCTCAGCAGCTGAAGCAGGGGCCCCTCTGCCCGAAGATGGATGAGGTGCACTGGCTGGCCCTGGGGGAGGAGTGAGGTGCCGGCCCAGGGCACTGGGTGAGGGATGTGACACTGTGGGACTCGCAACCGGCCTTCTCTCCTCCCAGGGACACAACTCTGCAATCCCTGGAAACCCCTGGAGTGCAGCCGCGCTGAGCAGGGGCTGGGGCCCCCGAGGGCTTCAGGATGGGGCCAGTCCTGGACAGACCAAGGACTGAGTAGAGGGCTGTGACTTTCAGCCTGGCCTCCCAGCTCCCAGGAGGGAAGAGGATTGTATCAGCTGTGCCTTTATAATGAAGCTGTCATGAAAACTGTGCAGGCTGGGCTGGGAGAGCTCCCCGCACTGGAAACATCGGGGCTCCTAGAGCCTGGCGCCTGGCCGGGGGAGGCAGGAGCGCAGCAGGCCCCACGCCCACGCCTGGCCCAGGTGTCCTCTTCCCCCTCAGCTGCCTTGGTCACTGTGGCAGTAAAGTGGTGCGTATGTTTTCCTGAGTTCTCTGAGCTGCTCTAGCAAACCAAGTGCCTGCACCACTTGGCATCAGGGGCTTGAGCCGTGGAAGCCGGTGTTGGTGTTCGGGGTCTCCACACTGAGGGTCCGGCACATCCAAGTCTACATCAAAGCCTTAGACAAAAAGCCAGTCGATGTTTCTAACAGTGGCAAAATACTGATTGCTAACTCCCTCGTGACATGTTTGTTAGCTGACATTCTACGCTTGTTAGATTTTCTGTCCTTCAGACAAGTTTTGCTTTTATTTTTCAATGAGCATATAGCGCATTTACAGCAGGGGAAAATAAAAGGGCTTAAGGGAAGCCCTCTGTGCATATGGTTTCTGCTCCCAGGCGAGGCCTGCTGACCTGCACACACCCAGGAGGCCCAGGGCACCCGCTCCAGAGTGACCAAGCTTCAGGAGCGTGCGCCAACCTTCGCTTCGGGACCCCTTCAGGGCAGAGGTCAGGCCTGCCAGCAAAGGCAAAGCAACAATGGGATTCCTGGAAGTGCTTCCCATTGGCAATGAGATCCCCTAGAGGCGGAACGGGTGTCAGGGCTGGGACAATGATGCTGCGCTAAACAACCTTTCCCTGTACAGACCTGCAAGTCTTTTTGATCCTTCTTGCTCTCCAGGTTGGGAGTTCTGGTTACAAAGTCGTTCAGCAGACTGTTGAGAGATAATCAGCTTCTGATCAGAAATGCTGCAGAAATAAAAATATGCCCCATAACATACCAGGTCCACATGAAGGCCAGGGGCTGATACCTGAGGAGGAGAAAATACCCAGGGGGGGCCAGATTCAACTGCACAGATTCCTTCAGGACGCCCAACAGCGAGACAAAGTTCTCTTGCAAGGCTGATGCTGGGAGCCTGTTTAAAAAAAAAAAAAATTGGAGAAAGAATATTCAACAAGTGAAAACATGACATGTACTTATAAGCACCTTTTAGATCTAGGAGTTAGAAAGCGGAGGGGAGGGCTAGGGATTTAACTCAGTGGTTTCGCCGGCTGCTGCGCAAGCATAAGGACCAGAGTTTGATCCCTGGTACAAAAAAAAAAGCAGAGGAGAAAACAGCATGTCTGACTTGTTTCTTATTTTTTTTTGTTTGTTTCTTATTTTTTGATTGAGTGATTAAAACAGGGTCTCACTATGCAGTTCAGGCTGTTCTTGAACTCACTATATAGCCTAGGCTGGCCTCGAACTCATGGCAAACCTCCTGCCTCAGCCTCCTGAATGCTGGGATCACAGGTGTGTGCCATCATGCCCAACTTTTTCTTTTTTAATTACAATATACCTAAGCTCAATTTTGGTAAAGTGGCAAGCACTTGGGAGTTAAGAGACCTGGAATCCCAGTAGTTGAGACCCTCCTGGTTTCCTTGTGTATAAAATAAAAGCCTCATCCTGGAGGACTGGCTTTGGTCTCTTGCTCTGGCCTTTCTAACTGCAGAGTGGAAGGTCAGGGGACAGGCCCCAGCAAACAGTGTCCCAGGCCAGGCCTCCGGGGAGCCAGGAGCAAGGGACGTCGAGGCTCCAGAGCTAGACAGTGCAGCACAGTCTGCTAAGGCCCAGCCACAGGCAGAGGGTCCTGGGTCAAGTCCCGGTCTGCAGCTTGCTGCCTCCCATCACCCAGGCAGGGCACGCTCTGCAAGAGAGGATGACACAACGTCCCCTCCAGCTGCTGAGAAGCCTCAGAGACCGTGGAGGCCTCTCTGAGTATGGTTCGTTAGTATCAGGACACTGCCGTCATAAGGAGGAAGTGGCTGGCTCATCTTAACCCTTGGAGGACAGAGCGGCAAGGATGGTCAAGGGCCAACAAGTAACAGCTGGGTCTGAATTTATGCCCAGACCCAGGGGCTCCTGGGATCCTGACCCTCATACACTGCAAGTGCAGAACGAGGCGGGTGGGAATCCCCGACCAGGTCAGTGTGCGCTGCAGAGCCTGCAGTGATTGTCAGGGCCACTTACTGCCAAACTCCTGGTGGATATGTAAGGCACCTGACACTGCCTGGAGAACACATCTAGGCCCCTCTCCCTCATTCACTGCCCCCAGAGGCCTCGCCCAGAGGAGGGCTTTGGGAGCCGAGCTTGCCACGTTCTTGGTAAGGTCCAGAGCCCAGAGCGGGCCTCTCTGGGTGAGGAACCCCTCCACCCTCCGCCCTCCTCCCACAGACTGAGCTCAGGTGCCTCCGCTGAGCAACGCGCCCTGCACAAACCGTCAGCCACACTGTGAACCCCGCCAAATGATTTCCCCATTTCCTCAGAGGGCTTTAACATTTTCTACTTGTGGGGTTTTTTTGGAATCAGTTTAACACGTCCGAATCTTTTAGAGTTTGATAGGTCTTACGTAAAGCTTTGTTGACATTAAGTCTTCAACAGACAGCCCAGATTTTAACATGTCAGGTCCGATCCTGGGAGAAGGCAAAGTAGACACTCCAGCCATTCCCGTGCCTCAGGAAGAAATGAAGGCACCTTAGAGATGCCCTTGACCAAGGCTCTCCTGCTACTGTTCACAGCCACTGCGCGCAGCTCAGTGATGGCTCTGAGGGCCGCATTACCTTTGCAGAAAAGTGTAGCAAAACTGCAACACAGGGATATCCACGAGAGGCGACTTCTGAAAAGTAAAGCAATGCCTGTGAGTCCAGGTCGGTACACATTCGGCTATCAAAGAATTCAAATACAAAATGAAACAGCTCTGTATTCTAACCCAAGACGTTAGCCAAAGAATCTTCAGATAAGATACCACGCAGGATAGCCCCTCTGGTGGACAGCAAACGCCACAGTGATTTCCCACTGTGGTTACCTCTGTCCATCCTGCATTCCCACCAGTACTCAGGCAGAATTTATAAGCGAGGCTCCCCAACAGAGGGCTGGGGGCCAGTGTTGACCCTAATAAATGCCTTCGGTAACCGACAGACAGGAGACAAGGAAAAATCCTAGTCCCTCAAACCCGGCCCAGATAATGTCTCTAAATCCCAAGTGTCCAGAAACTGTTCCAAATCACAGTCCCCTCTCCACTCTCTGTACAGAAAAAGCCACTTGGAGAAAGTGAGGTAATGAACTGAACTAACCACAAAGAGAAGTTTCGATATTGGAACCACCCAAAATCAGTCAGCCAGAGAAGACCTAGTTCCTTTATTGGGCCAGACCAAGCAGGAAGTTGGAGACACGGTAGACTTTCAAGCACTATGAGGGAAGCAAACTCTGAAGCATCCTCTGTCCCTCTGGGAAATCCGCACCGAGCGATCCCCTGAGCAAGGAGGGTCATTTGCGGCCCCGGGACTTGCTCAGGGTCCTGGACACATAGCCCTGAGGATGCCTGTGCCCTCTCACTGGCTAAGCTGCTCCTCCAAGTGTGTCTAAGTGAACGGCAGCGGGGTGACTGCGCAGCCTCAGAACGCCGGGGGCAGAGCTTGACAGGTGCGGTGAAGTTGTCTGTGGCCCTATGTGTGTACTGGCTCCTTGCGCACTTGATTGGTTCCACGATCTCCTGTGCAGTGTCAACTTTAGGGCAGCTTCTCGTCAGCTCCCATTTATGGTCCAAGCTAGCTTAAGTGGCCCCGGACGTGGACCACTGCACTGTGTAGCATTCTCACTCCCTGATGCACACAGCTGATCTTCCATCTGGGGTGAAGGAAGGGACCAGGGAGCTGAGCGGAGTGGCTGGCTAAGTCCACCCAGGCCAGGCCTCGGGCCCAGGCACCTCTGTAGGGGCTGCCCTGTGCCACATGTGAGAGACCCTTCAGAAGGAAGCAAAACAGGACCGGACACCTCGCAGGTGGCTGTGCTTCCTGCAGCACATCTATGGAAACTGCTAAACGGGCTGGGCATGTGCTCAGGGGTACGGTGCTGCCTAGTATGTGTGAGGCCCTGGATTCCATCTCTAGCAATGCCGGAAACAAAAACAAAACCACCACATAGCTGGATGTGGCATGCATGTCTGTAATCCTAAGTACTCAGGAGGCTGAGACAGGAGGATGGCCTTGAGGTCAAAGCCCACCTGGGCTACACAGTGAGTTCAAGGGCAGCTTGGGCTACACAGCAGGACCCTGCCTCAAAAAAACAAAGCCCCCTCACATTCCACTATGAGGTTGAAAAAATGATGGGAAAAAATTTCTGATCCCAAAGAGTGCAGCTTTTGCTCACCAAGTCCAGCGATACGGCCCCAGTAACCAACGTGTATTCATTTCTTACTCTGCAAAACATTTTTACCGTGGCGAGATGTATCTATAACATTAGGCTTAGTACATCATCTGTAAGCTCCACAGCATTAAGCTCACACCTTGGTGTACCCAGCATCGCCATCCCTCTCCAGGACTTTCTACCTCCAAACTGCATTCAGCAAGCCGCAACTCCCGCCCCAGCCACTGGCCTGCCCCACTCCACTTCTGTCTCTCTGACCTTGACTGCTCCAGGGACCTTGAGGCAGGGGAATGACCGGTATCTGCCTCTGGGATGGGCTGTCACTCTGCACAGTGTTCTCCAGGTTCATCCCATGCAGCTGGGCAGAAGTGTGTATCTCACCTCAGAGCCCACCAAGTGCAGCCTGTGCTCGGGCTGTCTGTACCTTGGGGCTACTGTCAACACTACCGACTGCTGTGACTCTGTTGACAAGAGTCTGTTTGAATGACATGTGACATGTATTTCTCATAATCACTGTCCATTCCACTAATTTCCTAACTACGCTTTTGAATTATTTCCTAGAAGGCATTTATTTCACAGTTGACAATTATTTTAAGGCATTTATATGAGGTATTTTGAGTAGTAAAATTCATTTAAGGTTGAAATAAATCCCTGTTTTCTATTAAGTTTATCAATGAAGAGCCAACCACCTTCTACACTTTCAGTGACAAGGGTCTGTTCAGCTTAAAAACAAAAGCCTCTGCAGACAAAGAACACTGAGCCACACAGCCTGTCCTGCCCAAATCTCCTGCACATAACTGAATGGGCTCTTTTTATCCCCCTGCAGCAGCACTGAGGATTAAACCCAAAGCCTACCACATGCTAGGTGACTGCTCTAGGGCTGAGCAGCTGGGTCTCACTAAACTGTCTGGGCTGGTCTTTATCCTCCTGCCTCAGCCTCCTGAGTAGCTAGGATTACAGGTGTCTATGACCACGTGGGACTGAATCAGGTCTTGATATTCCAGGGACCTCCTGGACCACTGTGCAGGAACTGGGCAGAATGACTAGAGTTCAATCGCACCCTCGTTTCTCTGTAGCCAGGTAAAGGCTCTCCCTTCTCTACGGGACATTCATTCTATAAACCGTTATGGGAATTTTAACTGGCCTTTGCCACACTCTAGCCTGGCTCCTCTGAGGCTCCCTGACCTGGCCGTGACCGTGGCCTTCAAGAACTACAGCTTCTAGCGCAGAGGAGTCCTGCACTTCCTGTCTCCTACCAGCACAGGGAACCCAGCCCCACAAGCAAGAGCCTGCCCTTGAGAGCTCACAGCTGGCCACCGAAAAGAATCCACTCCTTCTCCCTTTAGTCACGGCTGCCACACAAACCAGAAGTGAGCCCCATGCCCTTCCCAGTGTGGCCCTTACCCAGCCCATCTGCTGTCAGAGCCACTTCTCACTAGGTTCCGGCTTGGTTTGTCTTTGACACCTTTTAGACTGTGAATTCCTTTAAAGTCTTTGTTCTGTGCCATGTGCGGAAGGTGCTGAGAACCCAAGCTCCAGGCATAGTGCGCTGCAACAGGACTCTACAGAGAGCCTGGCCCCAGACTTTTGAGTCTCCCCAAAAGCAATGACACTTCTTCCATTTCCCACCCGCCAGGGTTCCTACCTGGCCTGCTCCCTGTGCTTCTCTCCTGAGCATGAGCTATAGGCAGTAGCATCTGGAAGCACTCCCCCATGCGTCACAGACCCCTGGGGGCAGCGGCCAGGGTCCCAGGCCTCACCTCATCCCCTCTGATCTGCAACGGCCTCTTCACCACCTCCTTCACCAGGTGCAGCACCGTGCCGGTCTGCAGGGTGCTGAGTGCACACAGCAGGTCAACAAGGGTGAGCTGGGTCGTGCTCGCCAGCGGGACGATCTGCAAGGCAGAAAGCATCCCCTGAAAGCTTACAGGGCAAAAAGAAAAAGAAAACAACATGCAAAAGGATTGGACAGGTCCCCAGAGAAAGGAATTTGCTTGGATCCTTTAAACAAACATTTCCCGTGTACTGGATGAAGACCCTGTGAGTGGGCGCAGTGTGAACCCACTGCACACACTCAGTGTGAGCCAGGAGGCAGGGCATGGTGGGTGATGGCAGTCACACTGCTGTCCGCACTGAGAAAGTGTCCCTTAACTCGGAGGGAGCAGGCTGGCACAGAAATGAGACCAAAACCAAAAGGGCAGGAGGAAGACCAGGCAAATCTGGTCTATGCAAGCTGGCCTTGGCAGGGCATGGGGGGTCTGCCCTGGCAGAGCTCTGCATAAGGCAGTCAGGAGCACTTGAGGGAGGCCGAGCAGGGAGGGGCCTCACAGGGCTTGGAGGGTGGCCTGGCGCCTGACTCTTGCTCTTCCCTGAGACAGAGCCTGGACAGCCACAGAGGGCAGTGCTCGGGAGCCCCAGGTGGCTCTGCAGAGAAAGCAGCCCTTGTGATGACAGGGGTTGTGATGACAGTAGGCAGGCACACAGGGGAGAGGCTGCAAGCGAAGTTCTCTTTGGGCACAGGGATATGATGATCTTACTGCCTTCACCAGCACAGACGAGTGACATTTTTATACATTTAGAAAGTGATCAGATGCGACTACATTTGATCTACACCTCTGCAGGCCTGTTAGATAAAAAAGGGCAAATGAAAGTATTGCTGTACCCTCGTTACAGAAAATCAAGAGGGCAGAAGGCAGACGTGGGCCGCTTCCTCCCACACCTCCACAGCCCTAGCAGCTGTGTCCACACATGAATTGAAATGGGGATGCGGGGCCAGCTTTGAGTCTGGGACCCCCGAGTGTCTCTGTCGGAGTGTGTTCACCCCCTCGCCTTTGGCTTTACCTTTGTCTTACTGTGACGCGGGGCTTTCTTTCTGTTCCACACCACTGCAACTGCAGCTGTCAGCTGAACTCCAAGATGGGCTGTCAAGGGGTTTAAGAAATCTAGAATTCTTTGTCTTATGGTCTAGAAAACAGAAGAGATATATACATTACAGAGTAAAGTTGAGGCTTGCATGTAATAGAGGGTACTTAGCCACCACCGACTCAAAGTGCTGCCGTGCTAGGGTCCTGCTGTCCCGGCTGGGTGGAGCCCGGAAGAGAGGGACTGGCTGTGTGACAGCCCTGGGTACAAGTGCATGGCCCACAGAGCTGACTGGGGTGGCTCAGGAGATGGTAAGTGCCTCCCCGAGTGGCTGTGGGCAGAGCAGGACCTTATTTCCAGTATTTAGTGGTGCTGGAGACTGAACCAGGGCCTTGCGTATGCCAGGCAAGCTCTTGAGCACAGAGCACATCCCTAGCCCAGGCAGGGTCTGGAAGGAGCAGTACACGGCTTCCTGGGGACAGTGGGGGACAGGAGCCAGGCAGTGCAGCCACTCTCCTTCCACCTGGAAATCCCACGACCTCAGTTGGGGTCCGCCAGGCAAGCGCATAGGTTGAGCAGAAAAGCAGATTTGCATGGGAGGGGAAGAAGTGTAAAAAGAATGGAGATGGACATGGACCAATTCCCCATAATGAAAGTGATCATTATGTATTGCAAACATAGGTAATAAAAATATAAGTTTGAAAGAAAAAAAGGAGAGCTGATTTTCAACTTCTAGAAACAAGCACCATTTAACTAACTGTATTATTTGAACAATTAAAAAAAATTTTGTTGTTGTTCTTCTAGTAGGGTCTCACTACGTAGTTCAGGCGGGCCTCGAACTCATTATGTAGTCCGGGCTGGCCTTGATCTTTCAGTGATCCTCCTGCCTCAGCCTCCTATGTGCTAGAATTACAGGCGTGTGCCACCATGCCTGGCTCATGGAACACATTTGCTCGATTACTTGTGTAAACACTCATATTTATTTTGGGGAGACCACAGAAGACAGCAAATGATGAGCCTGAGGAAGGCCCCTCTCACCTTGGTGGTTTTAAAGTAGACAGAAGAGGACCCTTTGGTGGCCCCCAGGAGGTCCGTGGGCCTTTTCTGTGTCTCCTCCTTTCTCAGCATGTTCCAGAGAAGGGCCATGGTGTTAACGATGCGCGGCAGCTCTTCTAAAATGGCATTCCTGGCATTGCGCAGGCTGGTGGGGTCGCTCACCGCCGCTGTCTGAGAGTTAAAACAGGACGTGTGAGTGCGGCCTTGGTGACCGTGTCCTTCCACAGGGGCAGCGGCGCTGGGGGGACCTGGTGGGGGCGCTGTTGCCAGGGACAGCAAGTCGCACGGTGGCTGGCAGCAACAGGCTTCCCTGTGCACGTCAACCTGTGGCTTTAGGAAGAGCCAGCCAGGGGCCATGGCTCCACCCTGCCAAGTCACAAACTCTCCAATCATTCAGCCGAAGCTTTCGATAAGTCCTGAGATTTTATCCCAGACAGGTTAGGACAACTAACAACTACCATGTCCTCCACCTCAGATTTCACAAACACCTTGACAGCAAGTAAAAAATACGTTACATAAAAGGCAAATGTAAGTCCAAAGTCAAACAGGCGGCTTTCCATTACAGGCAAAGGTGCAAGGAGCCCATCTCTGGGAACAAGGCCAAAATCACAAGTGCATCACTCACACGTACATTTGCACATAGACACAGTTGCATAATACATGCACACACGTTTGCATACATATTTTCATCATCTAAATACATTTATGTATGCATTGTCGTCCCTTGCATATATTTGCATGCATATCTGCATCACTTACTTATCTAAAACAATCACAGCCCAACAAACACCAAATAGCATACAAAAACTGTCTCAAATTTGCAGGAAAAAAACATACCTTCTTGTTTTGGTTTGGGTGTTCCAAAAGACAAAAATGACTAATTGTTGTCAGACCTTCCAAAAGAGTGAGTGGATAATCTGGTGAAATGTTTTCCTTCTTGGAGGTTGTGCTTTGGTGAAGAAATGAGAAAACTGGTTTTGAGAATTTTTAAGGATGAGGCTGGAAGACTTTTTAATCCTACATATAAACACAGATGCCAGAGATATCACTATGTTAACTGAACAGGGTTCCAGTAAAACACCATCATAAGCATGACAGGCATCTGGAGCCAGTTGGTGGGGCACACCTGCAACCCCAGGACTTGGGAGGCTGAGGCAGAGGATCATGAGTTCAAGGTCAGCCTGGACTCCAGAGTCTCCACAGTGAGACTCTGTCTCCAAAAACCCAGGGCCATCTTTGGTATTATTCTACAGTCAACATTCATAGTCACTTTGGAAAGATTAAGATGGTTTAGAGTTTCTGTGAAGGTGATTCATGTTTTCCACTTCTGTTTTGCAAAAATCAGAGTAACTAACTTGCCCAGCAACACTGAGCTAGCTTGGGTACCTGTGTGAAATTAAAGGTCTGAACTTTTATTCCTTCCCTACCTCTCTCCACAACACTAAACAGGCTTCTGATTGGGTTGAACTGCCCTCCAAATAGCATCCACAGCAAAATGGCCATTCATCCCAAAACTGTCACTAAAGCAGTAAGATGCTTCAAAAAAGCCTGGCGCGGTGACATACACCTGCAATCCCTGAACTCAAGAGGCTGAGGCAGGAGGATCACTGCCAGTTCAAGGGCATCCCGGGTTGCATAGTGAATTCATGGCCAGCCCAGACTACAGAGCAAGACCCTACCTCAAAACAAAACAAAACAAAAGGTGTCTCCCAGGGTTCAACCTACCTGATGGAGAGCTTCACAGACTCACTTTCATTTAGCTTGACCAACTCATCCAGGTTTTTGCAAATCTGGACAATGAAGGGTGTCACCGTCCAGCCCAGGGACTTCCCAAAGTATGGCAGGGACTGCGTGACCAGGCTCACCCAGGCCGGGTGCATGCCGTAGCCATAGGTAGGCTGCAGGCCCCGTACCACCGCCGAGACCAGCAGGCCCTGGGAGGTGAGAGGGTGGGGCTGCACATACTGTACGGCCCCGATGGCCTGCTGGAAGTTCAGCGCCTTCTGCCACTCCCGACACAGGGCCGGCTGACTCTCAGCCTCCTCCTGGCCCTGGCCCAGGTGGTGCTCTAAGATGATGAGTGCCTGCAGGAGCTTGAGCAGTTCGATCTGCAGTGGGTGCTCACTCCAGATCTGTCCCTGGCCCAGGCTGATGAGGCTCTCCTCGAAGAGGCTGTCCTCTGCCAGGGCCCCGCCCTGATCGCTGGTGGCCAGGCCGTAGCGCTTCTGGCTGGTGTACATGGACGCTGACAGTGACAGCAGCACGAACTCCTGGACCTTGCACCTCTGCAGCAGGCTGTGGATGAACTCCATGTTCTTCCCCTCCGAGGACTTGGCCACTGACACAAGCTGCATCACGATGCGGATCAGCACCTCCACGCTCTTGACCTGCACGTCTCGGTTGCCCAGGATGTCCCGGTGGGAGACCTTCAGATAGCAAGGGTAGTAGGAGCGCAGGAAGCTTAGGCAGAGGTAGGTGAGGAGCTCGATGAGCAGCGAGTGGGGGCACACGCTGGGCGCCTGGGTCTGCAGCTTCCCGTAGAAACTCTGGCCGACCAGAGCCTCCTGGTGGCGTGTGAGGAGGTTGGAGATGAGGTTGAGGTGTGCGGTGGAGCTGGTGTCCATGCTAGTCCTGGACACGGCCTCAATGAACTCCTTGGGGTTGGTTTTGAGCACGGCCTCCAGCACGGAGAAGGCGTACAGCACGCGGCGGGCGTCGTAGGGCTGCAGGTAGAGCAGGATGTGTTTAAACAAGGCCTCGAGTGTCTCCTGCCTTTCTTTCTGCTGCTTCCGTAGCCGCGATGTGCTCAGGGCCTGGAGCTCCAAGTCTGCCTCCTCATCGCTGGACAGTGACTCTGAAGCCTGCGTTTTGTCCGAGTCCACACGCACCAGGCTCAGTCTGGCACCGGGGCTGAAGCTTTCGGGCTGGAAGGCTGGCAGCAAGGCCGAGCGCTTGGGGTGCACCCTGCCCCCCATAGGGATGGGTGCGCAACAGTTGTCCTCGAGGCTCAGCTCCTGCGGGTCGTGGGATGGGGAGGAGAAGCTCGACGTGTTCTCGCTGTCCGTGTGGCCAGAGCTTGTGTCTGCAGACTCGGTGTGCTCGCTGCTGTCTGGGGCGCCGGGGCCCACCCCGTCTGGGAGGCCCACGCAGTAGGGCAGGTCCTCCCCACTCAGCTCGCTGTGCGGCGGGCTCTTCTCCGGTTCCTGCTCCACTTCGGCCCAGATGGCTTCCCGATCCACTGTGGTGAACTGGCTCAGGGGCAGGTGCTCTTCAGAGCCACCTTCTGCAAGCTCAGATGCCCCGCCTGCCTCTTTGAAGGAAGGTTTCCTCCTGTGAAACCAACGATGCAAGTCCTCTGGAAACCACAAGACGACAGACTTTAGAGCAGAAGGGTTAGTGCCGCGTGCTCACTCCAGGGCGATGCTGTCTTAAAGCCGACAGAAAGATCAGTGTTAACAGCAGCGCCACATGATACCACCCCACCAGAGCCTGATTATATTACGGAGTAGAGCTGGGCCAGGGAAAGTGAACAAGTCTGCTAGCACGCTCAAGGGCTGTATAATTTAGTCAGGGTATTATGGAACATTTAAGTTATCACTACTTTTGTGGGGAAGGCAATATGAAGAAATATGTATGATTCTGTCCCAGGAATGCCCTTCCTAGAAATGTCTCTGGCAGGAATGCCAACAGAAGTTTCAAACCAAAGACAGAGGCAGCCACTGAAATATGACGTGTGGACAAACTGAAAAGCGGACTGAAGACCTGCAGAGGTGAGAGTGGAACAGGCCAAGTACGTGTGTGATAGTACATGTGTGTGACATTCAAGAACATGTGTGTTTGGGGGTGTGAAAATGCTTTTCTGGGTACTCATGCAAGCAATGTGCAGGACACAGGGACATAAGGTCTGCCCAGCTGTGGCCTCTTAGGGAGGGACTATTATACAGCTGTGAAGAAGGCTGGCAGAGTATCCGCCACACCGCCCGCGCCCCAAGCTCTAGCAACTTCCATTGCAGGGACTGCCATGTATACCTCCGTCTTATTCCAATTTTAAAAATAAGCACATTAGCACTTCTGTAATCAGCCCATACACAGTACTTTGAAATATTCGAAGAGACACAAAAGCCAGAAGTCTTTGATACTGCCAGACATTTTAACAGGCAGCTTTCAACAAATCTATGCCAGGAACGGTAAGCAAGTTCAGGAAAGGAGGAGGAATGAGATATTAGAAATTCATGAGCATCTTCAAGCGCACAGTAATATTTTACAGAAATTACTGCAAGATTCAGGAAGCAGGGTGGGAAGAGGTGGTAGGCACCTAGTTTCCTCCAGGGGAAGAAAATGGCAGAGCAAATGTGGTCTCTCAGATCAGGAGGCAGCAGACGGCTCCAGTGGCTGTCGGAGATGGGCAGAGAGGCTGGCGAGGCAGCGCGTTCCCAAGGAACCATGGAGTGCAAATGTTCCTCTTAAAAAGCAGACAAATACGAAGACATGGAGCCTCCAAGAATGGCAGCCCAACTTTAGAAGGGGCTTGGTTTATGCTTCCTTAAGCTTTCCTTGGTTAGAATGTGGAATAATTCCGCGTCTCCTCTTTCCCACCCGAAGGAAAACCAGAGGCTTCAGGGGCAGGCAAGGGCCCTGGGAAGAGAAGAGGCCACTGCCTCCCCCCTCTGCCTCTGCTCACCCGCGTGTGCGTGTGCGTGCGTGCATGTGTGTGCGTGTGCATGTGTGCGTGTGTGCGTGTGTTGCATCTGAGGCAGCACAGAGACTATCTTTACAGCCTGGTGAGCTGAGCAAACTGACTCAAAGCTTGTGAACAAGCCCTCCGAAAAATGGAGAAGTATACAATGCAAGCACTGGGGAAGGTGTGAACACAAGCTCTTTTCAGCAGCTGCATCTGTGAGAGACCCTGCAGACAGGCGAGTGCAGCACCTCATCTCAAGCGTGGAGAGGTGGACAGGGGTAGATCAAAGACAGGACTACCTTGGGCTCTCCCAGGTCCTTACACAGTCACTGACTGTCACGTTCAGATCTGAACTAAACTCAACAGCTATGCCTCTTGGAATGCACTGCCAATCCTCTTACCTGCTCTATACCATCCGAAACCTGGGGACAGATTCCTCATCCTATGTGGTGCCCTGAGACAGAATGGATAAATATACTGATTTGTGACTTTCTTTGAAAATAAAATTCATGCAATCTTTTCCATGTTGGAACATGTCAGTCACAGCAATGTGAGTCTGTGTTCCTACTCCATGGCCATAATCGGCTCAGAATAAGCTGTTTTCCTATTGCCTTTAAAGCAGGGCAGTTATTTTACATTGACAAAGGTCATGTTAGTTCACAAACTGCAGTGGTCATCAACTGTCAAAGTTTAGGGAACCAAACAAAAGTTTAAGGGGGTGGTCAGGTTTATTTCATTTTTCTTTATTTTCCTTACTTCTACTTATATTCTTTTCAATATGTGTTCAAGATGCCTCTGAAGTTCAGTGAACTGAGAGGTTTATTTCTTCTGCCTTTTTGGTTATCTGATCAATAGGATTTTATAGTTGCAAAGAACTTTAGAGAGCAGATAGAAGATGTTTTCAAAGATCCATAAAGGTTTTTTTTGAGACAGGGTCTCGCCACGTAGTTCAGGCTGGCCTTGAACTCACTATGTAGCCCAGGCTGGCCTCAAACTTTTGGTAATCCTCCTGCCTCAGCCTCCTGCGTGCTGGGATTATAGGCATGCGCCACCACACCTGGCTAAATGAACAGTTTTTAAAGATAAAATACAGCTGACCAGATTACACGCAAATTTTGAATACTTTCAGTCACTCAGTGCCTACATCATCACGTCCCTAGTGGGCAGTGGTGCTGGGTGGAAGTGACACCTGGCAAAGCCACACTTCAAGGGCAGCTGGACAGCCACACTCTTCTCTAAGCAGGGCAGGTGTCAGCTCTGGAAACCTCCGCGGAGAGGCCCTGCTGTTCTCTTTCCTCACCCTATGTCATGGTTTAGATCTCAAGTGTCCCCCGAAAGTCTCATGTGTTCCGAGGTGGGTTTCTGGAAGGTGACTGGATCACGGGGTGCTGGAGATTAATGAATTCACAGCTGAATGTGCTGCCAGGAGGTGGGGCCTAGTGGGAGGTGGTCACTGGGGTGTGACCTGAGGGTGTGTTCTTAACCCCAGCTCTGTCCTGCTCTCTGCTTCCTGGCTGCCATGAGGTGAGCGGTTTTCCTCCACAAGGCCCTTCCACCATCCCTTCTGCTTTGGAGCCAGTGGACTGTGAACTGAGCACTTTGAAAGCATGAGTGAAGATAAATCTCTCCCTTTTTAAGCTGAGGTATTGGGGCTCTTGTCCTAGTGATGCAAATGTATTTTGGAACACTTGAATTGTTTTCTCTGATGAGAATCAAGAATCCCTATTTTGACTGGAATATGGGCTACTTATTCATATACTATTTGTTTTTTTTTTTGGTAAGAGGGAATCGAACTCAGGACCTTGTGCTTGCGAGACAGGAGGCGGCACCACTCACATACTAATTTTTAAATGGACTACTCATATGTATTTATGAGGTGCAATGTGCTGTTTGATATGTGTACATTGTGGAATGATTAAAGGAAGCTACTGGGCCGGGGATTTAGCTCAGTAGTTCCGCCGCCTGCCTCACAAGCGCAAGATCCCAAGTTCGATCCCTGGTACCAAAAAAAAAGGAAGCTACCATATCTCACCTATCATTTTTTTGGTGTGTGTGGTAAGAATATTTCACATCTACTCCTGCCAGCTGGGAGTAGTGGTGCACACCTATAATCTAAGCATTTGGGAGGCTGAGGGAGGAGGATCACTGTGAGTCTGAGGCCAGCCTGGGCTACACAGCAAGAATTTGACTCAAAAAACCCAAAAACAAACAAACTCCCAAAAAGTGTTATCAAATAAACTCCCACTGAAGTGGAGAACAGAATGGTAGGTAGTAGAGGCTGGGTGTGAGAGACAAAGGGCAAGAAAAGACGCCAGGAAAAGGGTATAAAGATCCATTCAGACCGCTGAGAGACGTTTTCAGTGATCCACTGTATGGTGCAGTGACGACAGCTCATAATACTGTACTATGCATAACAAAATTTTCTTTTTCATAAACATAATCTGGTTTTGCAGTGAAAACAGCAGACACACTAATGGGTAGCTCTAAGCAGTAGTCCTGGTGGGCCTTACATACGTAAAGTCCCTGAGAGTCACAAGATTATTTTCACACTGCTTGAACCTGGCAAAACTGCTGGGTGGGTCTGTTCCCTGAACGTGCACCAGGCCCCCGGCTGCTCACCGGCCGAGTTCTCCTGCTTCAGGCAGTGGATGGACGTCCGCTGGGTCTTGGGCTGCAGCAGCAGCAGGAGCACAGGTTCCAGGATGCGCGCCACATCCCCCAGGGAGAGCGCGCGCACCAGCCAGCCCTGGGCCGCCGTGCTGATGGCGCCGTCCGTGCAGGCCAGGCTGTCGAGCACGACGAACAGGGATCTGTGGGCCGGAGGACACCACTGAGCTGCACTCGGCTGCCCCGAGTGCTGGGCACGGTGGCAGATGATGGGCACAGGTGGCACAGGGTACAGCCCCTGGGGGCCTCCCCAAGCTGGACAGGGGGTTGAGTCCTTAGCTTTGGTTTCACATTAGAATCATGTAGGGAACCTTTCAAACCCCGATGCCCAGGCTTCAATCCAAATTGGCTACGATGGACTCAGGGTGGATTGGGGGCATCAGAACCTGCTGGCATCTCTGAAAGGTGGGTGCCTGGCCTCACTGCCAGCCTCAGAGACACGGTGGGGCACATGGAAAGCGGAGCAGGATGAACCTGCCACAGAGCTCACATCTTAGGGGTGTAGCCGTGACTCAGTGCCTGTGTGGATACAGTGTAACGGCACCACTGAGCTCTGGACCGCCTGCAACCCCCAGAAAGTCCTCTTGTCGGGGCAAGTGGGAAAAGCTGCAGGCTCAGCCTCCCTCCCTCCCTCCCGGCCAAACTCTGAAAACCCCTAACATACACGCACACGCTTCCAGCTAAGGACCTGGTGCTGCATGCTGTGCAATGTGCAGGGCTCGTGCCCCGCGTGCAGGGCTCCAGTCTGTCTCCTGTCACTCCACCCCCAGCCACACGCCAGCCAGATGCCCGTGCGAAGGGTGAACTACCACGGAAAGCCACCTCACCTGTCAAAGGAGCGACTGTGGGATGTCACTCGGCTGCCTTGGATCTCTCTGGTCAGGTGCCAGATTACAGAAAATCGAAAGAGAGCTTCCAATCGTGTGCCCTGAAAGAGGAGAGAAGCGAGGGTGAGGAGCTCAGCTTCAAAAGCGACAGTTTCCAGATGCACGAAGCCACTGAAACAACCAAGGGGCACTCTCGGTACAGCTGCGGGCACCTCGTGGAGATGCCGTCGTCCCGAGTGGGGCTTGGCCGAGGGTGAGACGCGCTGGCCTCCTCGCACTTCGCTCGCTCTCTTTCGTAGCTTAGTGCCGTGCACACATGCAACCCGGCCTGAGCTGGTGTCCAGGGTCACACATGTGGCTGTAGTCTGAGTGCGGCACAGGGTGTGGCTTCCTGTGCCCTCTCCGGTGGCAGGCCCACAGCCCCTGAAAAGCAGGGATGCACCCCACCTCTCAGTAATCCTCAAAGGGTCAATGAATTCTTGGTGACGACCTGTTTGCCGACAGCTGCAGATTTCCCTGGTAAGCCTTACTACATGCACAGTGGGGTTTTGTTTTTTTTGGTTTTTTTTTTTTTTGGTACTGGGGATCGAACTTGGGTCCTTGCTCTTGCAAGGCAGGCGGCAGAACCACTGAGCTAAATCCCCAGCCCTACACAGCGCATTTTGAGGGCTCTGCAGGGTAGGGCTTCAGCTGCTGAGATCTTCCAGGCCTGCAGTTCTGGAGGAACCCTGCCTGGGTGCTCCACGCCTGCTTCGGCTCCAGTGGTGGGGACAGAGCGCACGGCAGAGGGCTCACCTTGTCAGGGTCCAGCAGTGCGTGGCAGATGATGTCCTCACAGATGCTGGCTGTTGGAGCCAGGCAGTGCAGCCGGTAGAACAGCTCCACACAGGCGATGTGGTGTTCCCGGGTCTCCTTGTTCAGCTGATTCCACAGCACTCGTGCCACCCTCTGGCGGGAGGAAGAGGCAACAGAGGCTGCATGGATCCAGCCACGCCTGCTCTGCCCTCCTCAGCCTTCCCTGTCTTGTACCTGTGTGCTCTGTGGAGATCCTTAACACCCACAACATAACATAACGTAAGGCAAAAATTCACTAGCAGCTGCCTGTGCAGCGGGCTGCATTCCTGGTTCAATTCAGAGCTTTCTGACCAGCTAAGAAGGCCACGGCACTCGCTGAGACTTTAACACTACTTTCAGGAAGGGAATTCACCAGGCGACTGGAGATCTCTCTCAACAAGCACACACCAAGCCTCAGCCTGCTGGCACTGGGGTGTTCCCAGCTGCGCCCGCCAGGGAGTTGGTGGGTTTGCGGTGGTCTCAGCCAGGGCCCACTCGGTGGTTAAACACTCAGCACTGCACCCCCCAGGGCCTGCTCCAACCAGTGCCACGCAGATGGGTACACATGGCTCACCAGTGTGGACCCCACAGACACGACCCCTTGCGCCTGCCTTGCTTCCCCACACCCAAATCACACCCCGCACCAAGCAGCGCATCTCCATCTCCCCAGCCGAGTGTGGCTCCTTAAACATACAGGGGCTGCAGGGGCTGCAGCCTCCACACACGCTGGGGAGCCTGAAGTCACCTTGGTTCCCCTTCAGGGCGGGAAGTATCTCAGCATTCCCTGAGATTAAGAAGGGAGCTAGTATTTCATAGACTATAGTAGTCCAAGCACAACTTGGACCACATAATTTTGAGGGACTGATCAACTGACTTAGAGACAAGGTCTCACTAAGTATTCTAGGCTGCCCTTGAACTCACTATGTAGCCCAAGCTGGCCTCGAGTTTGGGACAATCCTCCTGTCTCAGCCTCCTGAGCACTAGAGGCGTGTGTCCCCACACCTGGCTTTGGTTTGTCTGGTCTATTTATTCCTATTTGACCAAACTGTTCCTGGCACAGATCAAGTTAACTGCTGATGACCACAGCCCCTTCCCACTGTTATTTTTTCTCTACAGTGATCTGTAACAATCAAGTTAAATTAAACTTCTGATACCAAACCTTTCAATCAAGCAAAGGAGCCGCCTTCCTGGCAGCCTCTGTGGCAAATGCATGGGAAGAGACTCCTTCTGGAATGCTGAGAATCCGGGGGGAGCCCTGATCTGCCCCTTGTCCACTTCCCAGACGGCTCAGCTGGATGGAAACTTTCTCTCCCTCTGGGGTTGTGACCATGAGGACGGGATGGTCTCTCCTCCCCCAGCTCCCCCACCCAGGGCTTCTGCATCTCCTGGGGTGAGGCCACAGCAGTCACCTCAGGACTGTGCTCAGCAGGGGACCCATGGGGTGCCCTGCCTCCACCGGCCCCCACGCTACAGGTCCAGAGTCCCGGCCCAGCTGCTCTGGCTGGAGTGTGCTGCAGGATGCAAGTGACATGCTGGGAGAAGCACGCTGGGAAGACAAGCCTGCTGCCCCTCCCTGCCCAGCTACTGTGCCATGAGCCCTGCAGACAGAGGGATACAAGGTGACTTGGCTCTCAGCACCCCTCGGCTTACAGTCCGAGATTACAGTCTTGGTGGGGGAAGAAGGGACCACTCCCTGCCCACACACCCTCTGTCCAGGGGGATACCTGATAGAAGTCTGTTTCCTCCGCAAGGACCTTCAGGTTCCCTGGGGTGATGGGCGGGACCGTCACCATCTGCAGCTTGCCAAAGAACGGGTTGTGCCCGGAGCTTTTGTAGCGCTTCATCTTGTCCTCGATGACCAGCGCGAGGGACTGGGAGTGGTTGATCACCTCCAACAGGGTGGAGATGGCCACATTCTGGAGGTAGCAGTCAGTCACGCAGCAGCAAATGGTCATCAGGGACTTCAGCCACAGTGGAAAACTGGGATTGCTGGCCCCTGATGGAGGCACAGGGAGGACAGAGTAAACAAAGACCAAAGAGCGGTGAGAAAGTTTCAGCCTGCAGAACCTGCAAGGGCCACTTCCCAGCACCTCGACATGGGGAGCTTATCTGGAGGTGGGGTCCTTGCAGAGGTGACCGAGGTGGGATGAGGTCATTGGGGCCCTAACCCAAGACAACTGGTGGACTTAGAGGAAACTGCCACAGGAGAGGGACAAACGAGAGATCGGGTGATCACAGAGGCACAGCCAGAAGAGCCCAGGAAGCCAGGGGCTGTGGCCGCCACCGGAGCTGTAGAGACAAGTACGGGTTCTGCCCAGCCTCAGAGTGAGCATGGCCCTGATCCCTTGACTTTAAACTGCTGTCCTCCAAACCAGGAGACTGTGCTGTGCAGGCGGCGCAGCTGTGGCACCATGTTAGAGCAGCTGTAGCAAACCAGTACATAAATCTTTAGCCCTGGGACAGTCCACTAACAGCTACTTATTACCTTCTTGGGTTTCTTGAGACAGGGTCTCGCTATGCAGTTCAGGCTGGCCTTGAACTCATTATGTAGATGAGCTGGCCTGGAACTCTCAGACTCCAACTCTCCACAATCCTCCTGCCTTAGCCTCCTGAGTGCTGGGATCACAGGCAGGTGCTCTCATGCCCGGCACTATACTAACTTTCCTGTGCTGCATCTTCTGGGCTGTGCTGGACATTCGAGGTTTAAAAACAGAGACCCGGCCCTTACCAAATGGCACGCAATGACTCATACATAATCTTGCTATGGCCCTCCAGCACCAAGACATCAAACAGAAACCATACGTGAGTTAGTATCACTTACCCAAAAGGCTTGGGAATAGAAGCGTTTGGGATGTTGGAGTTTTCTGGGTACTGGACTGCATATCTGCATAGACTTGACTGGCTGAACACCTCTCATTCAAATGCTCCAAGAGCGTGGCAGTGCTCGGGAAGTTTTGGCTCTCAGAACATTTGGACGGGGATGCAGCGCCAGTGGTCCCTTCTTGTCTGCATACCCATCGCCTCCAACAGCTAGCTGCCTAGCCAGGGGCTTGGGGCGCCCTCTCACCTGGGGGCTGGAAAAGCGTCTCACAGAGCTGCTCGGTCTCCTCCTCGGACAGGTAGACGGGGAAGGTGGCACAGTCCAGCAGCAGATGGCAGGCGGCAGCAAAGGCCTCCCTGCAGTCCTCTTTGGAGGCCCCCAGGTCAATGACCACGTGCTCGGCATCCCATCCTCCTCCCGTTTTCCTGCCAGGGTTCCTGGGCAGAGACGTCGGTGACTCCGAACTTTTTGTCTTAAACGGAGACCCGCGCACTGTGAACAGGTCTGAAAGCATCTGCTTAAACTGGGGCACAGTGATGGGCTTGGCCTCCCACGAGTTCTTCCTGCCCGAGTTGCTGGTCACCGCACTTGGCGTCCCACCCTTGTCCCTCCTCCCTGCAGGCTCCTCAGCCCTGTTTTCCTCTCCAGGCTCGGGCAGTGGCACTGCCAAAATGTTCTTGCTGGCAAAGTTGGCAATGAGCTCCTGGATGCACAGAAATGTCCTCTGCATGCTGCCCCCCTTCTTCCAGATGTCGTCTCTCTCCGAAGAAACCCGAGGGACCCGCAGGTGCTCAGACAGCTCTGGCGACGAGGCGCTGAGCCCGATCCCGCTGTCCTCAGACTTCAGAGGGGGGAACGGCATCTCCTCCTCACCAGGAACCACTGCCTTCGTTTCCAAAATGACTTCGCCATGTTCACCTTTTACTGGACTCTGCAAACAATAAAAAAAAAAAAAATAAATTGTATCGCACAGCTCTTAAGATCAGCAAGCCGGGAATGTATTTCAAACCTTTTTCTCCAAACCCTGTGGCTATACGGTCCTGTACGTGAGTGATACAGCGAAGGAGGTGGTGAAGTAGGGCGGGAGGGGCTGGGCCCAAGGATGAGGGTACCATACAGGCATAAAAAGCAAGTGGGGAAAGCTAACCCAGTGACTGAGGCTGGAACAAGATGCGGATACAGGCTGAACAGCCCAATCTGAAAACTAAACACCGAAAATGCTCCAGATCCCACACATTTAAAGCACTGACACGAGGCCACAAATGGAAAAGCCCACACCTGACCTCATGTGGCCTGAGAATACTATCTAGAACTGCTCTTGGGACTCTAAAGCCCTGTTCTGACCAAATCACAATGACCAGTGTTGAGGATGCGTAAAGGTGGGTGGCTGGGGGTGGAACCGACTTGTCTGTATTTTGTATTGTGTTTTCTACAGCATGTGGCCAGTAACTATCTGGTCAATACAGTCAGCCAACTGATAGACCTCAAAAATAAATTATCTTCAGGCTATGTGTATGAGACCCATATGAAACATAAAGGAATCCCATGTTTAGACTTGTACTCCATCCCCAAGATGTATCATGTATTTGCAAATATTCTTAAGTCTGAAAAATGTCTAAAATCTGAAACACTGCTGGTGTTAAGCATTTCAGATAAGAGACACTCAACCTGACTATGCATATACATGCATACAAGGTGTGGTCAAAAAATAGTGAATATGGGCCAGGTATGGTGGTGTGCGCCTGTAATACCAGTACTTGGGAGGCTGAGGCAGGAGGATTGCAGTGAGTTCAAGGCCTGCCTGAACTACAGAATGAGACCTTGCCTCAAAAAACCAAAACAAAAACCCAACAAAACAAAACCAAAAAACCCCCGAAATAGTGAATGTTTAAATAATAAAAAAATTTTATAGTAAAAGACACATTGCCATGAATCTCCCTCAAAATGCTCCCCCTTGCTTTGAACACACTCATCCCATGGTCCTCACCACTTCCTGTAGCAGCTCTGGAGCCCTCTTTCCTGAGTGTTCTTAGCTGCACTGTCCTGGCTGCCTTGATGTCCTGAATCGATTCAAATCATTTCCCTTTCAGGGTCATTTTAATTTTCGGGAAGAGCCAGAAGTCACATGCTCCCAGATCCAGTGAATAAAGTGGCAGGGAACGCAGAGCCATGTTTTTCGCAGCTGCCTTTCTGCTGGATGGCGCTCTGCAGCAGTCACTGTATTTGTGATCACCTCATAAAGACAAAGGACTCCCTCCCACAGCTGCTTCAGAAAGTGGCAAGAATGATACTGGGTAAGTGTGTTCACAGTGAGGGGGATTAATGGCAGTGCGTCTTTTATGGCAGTAATTTTTTTTTTTTGGTACCAGGGATCAAACTTGGGACCTTGAGCTTGCTACTGTAATAATTTTTAAAAACTTTAAACATTCATTGTACACACACACACACACACACACACACACACACACACACACGGTGGCTTTCCCAAAGTGAAGCCACTTCAACCATTAATGGATCAAGCTTTTCTCTTTCCACACTGTTACTGAAGCAACATTATATTCAATCTGAAACTCCAGCATTTAGTCTGCTGTGCTCTCTAGGAAGAGTGAGAAGGCAGTCTGTGATTTCAAGCATACCGCGATTCATACTTGTAAGCTATAAATGCTTAGGCTTTTACTTCAAATTGTTTTCAGAGTTTTTCCTCATAGCTGGAACAACTAAGGAAAGAGAGAGAGAACAAACTTTGTACTTCTGTTTTTTTGGTACCAGGGATCGAACTCGGGTCCTTGTGCTTATGCAGCAGGCGGTAGAAACCACTGAGCTAAATCCCCGGCCTGTAAACTTCCGAGTGGAGGGTATGATTGTAGCCTGTAAACTGGCAGCTTATTTATCTCCAGCACACCCAGCTCCTTCCCACAGGCCTCACGGTTAGCGTCTGCAGCACCACACTGATTTCAAGGGTGACATTTTCAAATCCCCCAATAGAAAAGAAAAGAAAAGAAAAGAAAAGAAAAGAAAAACAAGCCAAAGACCGGGGGATCAGACTGTCCATGGTTCTCTGCCATCAGTCTTTTCAGAAGATGGTAGGCAGCAGCTCTCATGGACTTGAGGAGCATGCGTGCCTGTCCACTGCAGCACTCTGCCCAGAACCTTCCTGTAACCAGCACCGTGTGTGAAGTGGACGAGGATGCAGACTGGAAACTGCTTTAACCAGAACAACAGAAAAGGAACTAAACACATCCACAGGGAAACATTAACACAATCCATATCATGGACTATTATCCAGAAAGTAAAAAAGAGTAAGACACCTTTATTTATGTTGCAGAAATCTCAGAAAGAAATACATGGAGACACAGAATTCAGATAAAATAATAAAATTTCTTCTCTCGAGCGGGCGGGAAACCAGTCTGGCTAGTATCTGAGCCCCCTTTGTTCAGCATTTCCCTTTTTATATCATTTTTAGCCATTATCTCATCCCTAGTGGTCTTTGATGTGTAAATACAATTCCAGTTCCTATTTACAAATCACAGACACAAGATAGGCACACATATATTGTAAATTCACCCTAGCATGCTAACTTTGTTAGGTTAATGAAGTTACCGGTTAGAGTCAGATAACCGTCACCTTAAACAAGGAGTTATGGGAAAAGCAAATCTTAAAAGAACACATTGCTCATTTTGCTTCTACAACTACCTTAATATTCAATCTATTAAGTTATCTAAAACTTTTCCGTATCATTTATACTGATATGCAAGGACGTCCCCCAAATATTATTTAAACAAACTAAAGGCACAGCAAGTCACAAAATAGTATAGGTTATAGGTTGAACTGCGCCCCTAAAACATATTAGAGCCCTAACTTCTGGTACATAGGGTCTTTGCAGAAGATTAAGATGGGGCCAGTAGGATGCGGCCAAATTCAACCAGACTTTGTCCTTATAAAAAGGGGAAACTGTGCTGGATTGGTAGTGCACCCCTGTAATCCCAGCACTCGGGAGGCTGAGGCAAGGGGATTGCTTCGAGTTTGAGGCCAGCCAGGTCTACACAGTGAGTTCAAGACCAGCTGAACTACATAGAGAGACCTAAAAAAGCCAAAAAAATCTTTAAAAACAATACAAAGGGGAAATCTGGACCCAGAGACAGACAAGCACACGGGGCAAGCACATATGACCACAAAGGCAGAGGTGGGGGCTACGTATCACGAGGCTAAGCCACAGATGGCTAGGGAGGAACCAAGCCCTCTGACACCCTGATCCTGGGCTCTGACCCCCAGAACTGTGAGGAAAGACATTTCTGCTGTGCCAGCCGCCCAGTGTGTGGCACTTCGTCAGGGGACCCTAGCAAGTCAAAAGCAGGGTGTATTCTCGCTTGTGTTTAGATAACCCAAGCCACACGCGCGCGCGTTTGCGCGCGCGCACACACACACACCCCCCAGCCGGAAGCCCTGACCGTAGCTGCACGGCCTGGCCAAGACTGTGGTCACGTGGGGCCGGTGCTCTGGTCAGTAGTGAGGCTGGCGGCACGTGGGGTGTAGCTACCCAAAACCTGGTGTTCACATGTGTCACAGGCGTGTCTGATGCCTCCCCGACACCCTCTCATCAGCATCCCTGAGCCAACCCCAGCCGGCAGGCCTGAGCTGCCCAGGAAGCCTGAGCTCACCCCGACCGGCACATACCAAGCTTCCACTTGTAGGCTCCGCATCCAGGTAGGAGGGCGGCATCTGGACCTTGCTGAGCACCTTGAAACACGTCTTCAGGGCGTGCGTGAGCTCAGGCAAGCTCAAGGCCTCCATCTCCTCGGTCAGAGACTGCAGCAGGCAGCCGAGCACCTGCGGGAGGTACTGGGTCTGGACCTCTGAGTAGAGCTCCTGTGAAGACAAGCACAGTCACTCACCTGGGCGGTCTCTACTTGGGAAGACGCTCAACCTGCTGGCTTAGACAGCTCTGGTTTTGGAACACAGGTTTCACAGTCAGAAAATAAAGTACTAGCCCTCCTCAAGTTCTGAGATAGGGTCCTGCTAAATTGCCCAGGATAGCCTCGAATTTATAATCCTCCTGCCTCAGCCTCCCAAATAGCTGGGATGATAGGAGTGTACCCCTGCACCTGGCTCTAATACTTTCTTTTGATCTTTACCCTAAGAGAAAATAGTAAAACTGCCATATTCCCATATTTAAAAAATTAATTTCCAGCCAAGTGTGGTGGTGCACACCTATAATCCCAGCACTCGGGAGGCTGAGGCAGGAGGATTGTTGCGATTTCAAAGCCAGCCTGGGCTACATAGTGAATTCAAGGCCAGCCTGAACTACATAGTGAGACCCTGTCTCAAAAAAAATTAATTTCCCAGGGCCAGGGATTTAGCTCTGCAGTTCCAGCACCTGGCTCACAAGCACAAGGTCCTGGGTTCAATCCCCAGTACAAAAAAAAAAAAAAAAAATTAATTTCCCTCAAGAAAATAATCCAACTACACAATTTTAACTAGGAAATATGTTTAGTCACCCCTAAAAAGTTGCAGTATCAGTTTATCATCCAATTTATATAAAATGAGCTGGGTCCATTTACAATGGCCTCAAAAGTTACAGCCCCTTTTATTATTTTTTACAGTGCTGGGGATTGAACCTTGGGCCCTGCACATGCTAGGCAAGTGCTCTACCACAAAGCTATACTCCCTGCCCTCTTTCATTTGTAATGTCTTAATTAAGGGCTTATAAGTTATGAGAGTATAACTCAGTGGTAGAAAGCTTGCCTGGCATGCATGAGGCCCTGGTTCCGTCCCAGCATGACTACAAACAAAACAAAGAAAAAAAGATTGTACCAAGCTAAATTTATCTGTAGCAAAACATGCATTGAAACAGTGTTTCTTATTTAGGTAAGTCCACTTTTTGGTAAATTTAGGTTTATAAAACAGGCCAACCACACTAGTAAGTGTACAATAACAACAATTTTGGGGGGATTAGATAGATAGGGTCTTGCTATGTATCCCAGGCTGGCCTTGCGCTTGAGGTGATCCTCCTGCCTTGGCTTCGGCCTCTTGGGAGCCGGGATTATAGAAGTACGCCATCATGCCTGGCCTGAGAACACAACAGCAGCAAGCCCTGGGCCATCTCTTCCACACAGTCCCTGCATACCAAGGGGATGACATCCAGGAGGAAGGCGAGCAGAGTGCAGAGCTCCGAGACGGTGGGCAGGGGCCTGACAGGTTTCCCAGCAGGGCTGCCCTGCTTCACTGGTCTGCATTAATCACAAGAAAGGAAAGCCAGTTAGTGCCTCGCCCCTGAGAACTCTGATCATCTGATGACTTCCAACAAGGTCATCCTTTTTCAACACAGTACCTACCATCAGCTCTTGTTCCAGTAGCTAAGCTCTGGTGACCAGTTAACACACAAGGGGTCAACAGGTGCCCCGACTGTGTCTCCGGGACGGGGTCCCTCTGACTTTCATCCCATCGGTTCACACGGGGTGCCCGTATCCCTGTGCGGTCGGTTCCACTCCTACAGTGCAGCCAACAGGTACAGCCCAGGGCTCCCACCCCGAAGCAAGGCCACCACGTTCTCAGAGTACAGGCCGGGCTGAGGATGACCCCAGCCTGACAGCTGTTCGCCACCTCCCCTGGAGGTGCTGGGATTCTTCAGCTTCTGCTGAAAAGAGCACCTCTCCTGTCAGCTGCTTACCTCGTCTGGAAACTCAACGCTTCCTTTGCAATCACTGGGAACTGGCTAACAGCTATGTTGAAGAGCACAACCCAACCTGTGTATCTGTGGGCTCTGCATCTGTGGATTCAACCAACCACAGAGCAAAGCACGTGGACCTGCCCTGAACACGTGCGGACTGTTTTCCTGTCCTTATTCCCTAAGCGGTAAGTAGAAGAGCCACCCACAGAGCACAATACTGTGTTCTAAGTCACTAGGGGGGACTGAGAGGACGCAGCGGGCTGCTGGTCACATGCAGGCACTGCAGTCATGCCAGGCGCATGGGCCTCACAGACCTGGGTCCCCGCAGAGGCCTGGAGCCAACCCCCACGGACGCTGAGAGAAGTGGGTCTCAAATTGAGGCCCTGCCAAGCCCACCTGTGCCCCTCCTCGTGAGCCAGCGCTTGACCTCTTGGAGCCCATCTTAGGAAGTGCTCAGGACCCCACGCACGTGTGACAGCTCCGGCCCCAGACTGCAGGGCTGCACGTGCAGAGACATGCACGACCTTGAGTGAGAGACACCATGGGCCCTGACACTCGAGGAGAGCGGCACGGGGTGGAAAGGGAAGGCCGTGTGCTGCATGTGCACCAGCTCCCCCGGGAAGGGGCCGCTGCGGACCCTAAATGCGACTGATAAAAAAGTACAAAATCGAGAGGAAAAAACTGTAGGGAAACATATCCACAGGGCTGTCGCCCCCAGGACAGCACCATGGGACACTTGGGCAAACGTCAGCTGACGAGAGCGGTGGCATCTCTGCTTCCCACTTGGGAAAGGCGCCCAGCGATGTCGTGGGAAGGGCGGGGTGAGGGGACCAAGAGGTGTCAGGCTCTGTTTGGGTAGCGACATCTAATTCTCAGAATAAAAACAAAAACAACCAAAAAGACAAACATGGGCACCAGGGCTGTAGCTGGTTGGAGGAGCACTTTTCAGGATCCTCAGTGCACTCCTCCCAGTCCCGCTGCCGCACTCTGAGCCTGGCAGAGGCCACTCAGCCTCCTGCTGGCCGGGAGCCACACTGGCCCGGCCCGGCAGGCGCCCTTCTGCCTGCGGCCTTCTGCGCTGCCCTGTGACTGCACTCACCTGAAGCACTCCTCGAAGCACCTTGTCATATAATCCCAGAGGAAGTCGGTGCTGAGGGAGGAGATCAGCAAGTTCACCGTCTTAACGATCTCAGAGGCATTTTTGTTTTCCTTGATTGTACTGGAACAAAGCATGCTGTGTCTGAGAGATTGTAATGCATTCTACTGTTTGTGACTTATTTCCAGAGAGGTCGACAAACTCTGAGAAAGATAAAAATATTACTGTTCTGCGGGGTAAAGTGGCGCACACCTGTGAACTCAACCACACAGAAAGCTGAGGCAGGAGGATCTCAAACTTGAGACAACCTGTCTCAAAATAAAAAATGAAAAGGGCTGGGAGTATAACTCAGCCTGAGTTTGATCCCTAGTATTGCTAAAACACACACACACACACACACAC